CTTATGGACACAATCTTGCTTTCTGAAAGTGAAGAATCGAAACATTTGTTGATGGAGCTCAAAGATTACAGCCTTCAAAATGGAATACATTTCCATATAAAGAAAACAAAAATCCTCACAATTAGACTTTGGACACGTTACCAGGAGGAACTGGTTCCCGAGGAAGCATCATGCTTGGTAATATAGAGGGTTGGCAAAATGGAGAAACACTCTCAGCGAGATGGAGTAACTCAGTTAACAACATGGGTTCAAACACTGCAGCGATTGTTTGAAGACAGTGGAGGACCAGGCAGAGTGCTGCTCTGTTGTAATGAAGCTGTGAATCTGGAAGGAAACTGCCTGTCTTGCTCCCATAAAACAGGTGGAAAATGGGAATGGCAGATCTTTCCGTCAGAGGAATAACACATCACATACCACCAGAGCCCCTTTCACAATCACTTGTTGTTCTGTGCTATCTAGTCAGAATCAATCCCTAGTTAAACCGCCAGTGGGTTTTGAAAGGCAGTAAATCACATGGGAGGACACTGTCCATCTTTCTCTCACAGGTTAGTGGATTTGAACCAAATGCCTTCGGGTTAATTGTACAGACCCTTACCAGCTGGCCACCAGAACTCCCTTTCACAATCACTAAAAGGGTTTAAACTAAAAAGGCATACCATTTTGCAACTGGGCTATGAATCTGTCTTCTTGTGAAGCCCCTGTAGTAGTCTATAAACTTTAGTTATGGGACTTTTGTCTGAAATGTCATTGCCAATTTTTTTTTCCAGTCTCTGGACTTTCTTTTCACCCGATCAGAGAAAGTTTTGGACACACACAGGGATTTTGTTTTAAGGTCCTAGTTGTTGATTTCATCCTCTCCTGGTTGTGTGTTTTGGGCTATGTTTGTAGGCCTATTTATGCCATAGAAGAGGGCTTCTAAATTTGTTCCCATTTCATCTCTTATGATCTTTATGATTTGGGGTTTTACCCCTAGGTCTCTAAGCTACTTTGAGTTGGTATTTGCATCTGGTATGTGGGTCCTGTTATCATTTTCTGTAGGTAGATGTACAGTTTTGCCAACAGCATCTGTTAAAGAGGTGACTGTTTCCTAATTTAATGTTTTGTTTTTTTTAATTTCAGCTATTAGTTGACATAGGTTGATGGGTTGATTTCTGGGTTTTTTATTCTACTCCATTTAGCTGTATGTCTGTCATCACCAATACTATGCTGCTTTGATCACTACAGCTGTGTAGTAGGTTTTGAAATCAGGGAGTGATTTTTGTTTCTCAGAAAAGCTTTGCTTATTCTGGGTCTCTTTCTTTTCCAGAAGAAATGGAAAACTGCCTTTTCTCTCTCCACAGAGAATGAATTTGGTATCTGCATTGCGATTCTGTTGAACCTGTGGATTGCTTTTGGTAGGATTGTCATCTTCACAATGTTCAGCCTTCCTATCTATGTATCATTAGGGAATATATTTCCTTTTAGTTAGGTCTCTGATTGTTTCTTGCTGTAGTGTTTTGAAGTAAAAGACATGAAAAGACTCTTTACAAAGGAAGATATTTGGATGGCTAACAACATGAAGGAATGTACAAAATCATTAGCAGAGAGACACAAATAAAAAAAAATGAGCTATCATCTCACTCCAGCAGCAGTAGCAAAGTTTAATAACACATCAAACAAATGCTGGAGAGGATGCGGAGAGATTAGAACTCCTATGCACTGCTGGTGGGACTGTAAAATGGTACAACCGCTATGGAAGGCAGTTTAATATATCCTCAGGAAGCTGAACATAGAAATTCCATATGACTCAGAAATCTTACTGGTAGGAATATACCCCAAGAGAATCAGAATTAAGACATAAATGGAGATATGTACATCAGTGTTCATAGCAAAGTTATTTACAATAATAAGAATATAGAAACAGCCCAAATGGCCATCAACAAATGAATGGATTGAGAAATTATGGTACAATCATACAATGGAAATCTTTACAGCACTAAGGAACAAAGATTTCATAAAATACTATATGACATGAGAGAGTCTAGAAAGCATTATGTTGAGTGAAATAACACAGTCTCATAAGGAAAATTACTGTCTGAAACCACTATTGTAAAAACAAGAGTATAACTGAGCAAGATACGTATAAATGTTCAAAAGGAGAAAGGAATAAAAGGGGAGAAGGAAGGGGAAGAAAAAGGGAAAGGGGAAAACCAACAAGGACAGCAGAGGTTAGTGGGTGGAGAGAGGGTGGAGGAATAGGAAAGATTCAATGGGGACTTGAAAAGATGGGATGATAATAGGCACAGATGAAGAGTACTTAATTATGTAAAATACAACATATATGAATGATTATATAAAACACAATGTACATGGGTGAAGGAATTAGGAAAGATCCAGTGGGGACCTGAAAAAGCAGGGTAATGGTGGACATGGATCAGTGTGACTAGATTTAGAAAACACAATGTATGAGAATAATCATATGAAACACAATGTAAACAGAGGAATGTGTGAAACACAGTGCATACCAATAAAACGCAATGTGTACAAATTTTGTATGCAAAGTAATACACATTTTTCTTAAAAAGACAAAAATACATAACATGTGTACACGAAAAACACAATATATATGAATGTATGCAAGACAATAAAAAAAGAAGAAAGGTATAACAAGGGTTGGTGAAAACATGAAGAATTAGAGCCTTTATACATTGCTCTGGTACATAGGGTTTTCAAAGGTCAGTTACATTTCGGGAGGCAGGGCTTTATGAGGAAGAGTGTGGAATCAAGATTGGAGGAAGACTCACAAACAACCTATGATATGCAGATGACACAACCTTGCTTGCTGAAACTGAGGAGGACCTGAAGCACTTGCTGCAAAAGGTCAACAACTGTAGTCTTCAATATGGATTGGAGGTAATATCAAGAAGACAAAGATTCTCACCACTGGGCCAACTGGCAGCACTGTGATGGATGGAGAAGAGATTGAGGTTGTTAGCAATTATAGCTTGCTAAGATCCACAATCAACACTCTTAACACCAGCAGTCAGGAAATCAAAAGACAAATTGCACTGGGAAAATCTGCTGTCATACACTTCTCCAGAGTGCTGAAGAGCAATGATGTCAGTCTAGATGCAAAGGTGCACCTAATCCAGGCCATGGTCTTCTCAATTGCTTGTTATGCTTCAGAGAGTTGGACAATGACTAAGGATGACAGAAGAAGAATAGATGTCTTCGAGTTGTGGTTCTGGAGATAAGTCTTGAACATACCATGGACTGCCAAGAAAACAAGTAAGTCTGTCTTGGAGAGGGTGAAACCAAGACTCTCCTTGGAGGCTAGGATTCTGAAGCTCTACCTCACTTACTTTGGGCACATAGCCAGGAGATATTGATCCTTGGAGAAGACCATCATGCTCAGAAGGGTGGACGGACAATGCAGGAGAGGAAGACCCTGAATGAGATGGATTGATACAGTGACTGGGGCAATGGGGGTAGGTGTGTCAGAATTAGTGAGACTGACTCAGGACAGGCAAGGGTTGGTTCAGAGCTGCTGTACATTGCTATGTATCACAGGCGACTCAACCAATAACATTCTATGACAAGTTTGGAAGCAGGAGTGACATTGTTGTTGTTATGTGCCGTTGAGTCCCTAAACTCTGCTCTGTCCTGTGCCAATCGCACTGTCTCTGACACTCCCATCCCAATTATCCCAGTCACTGAGTGACATACACTTCCTAAACAGCATGCCTCTGGAAGCTCTGTGAACTTTGATAAGTGTCGATAGCTGTAGAGGGGCTTCAGGCCTTTTGTTCACAGGGTCACCATGAGTCATGCCTGACTCAAAGGCAATCAACAACAACAACATACATTGCTAGTGGGCTTGTAAAATGGTGGAGTTGCTTTGGAAAACAGCTTAGCACTTTTCAAAATTTTAAACACAGTTACCATACCAAAACTTCCCAAATCTATTTTAATCTGATTGATTGTGACTCATAATGACCCTCCAGGACTGAGCAGAATTGCCCCACGGGATTTCCAAAGCTGTAATCTTTATGAAAGCAGACCGGCAGGTACATCTTGCTCTTGAGTAGCAACAAGTGGGTGTGAGCTGCCAAACTTTTGGTTAGTGGACAAACTATTAATCAGTATGCCACTAGGCCTCCTTAAAGTTTCCATATGACTGAGCTGTTCCAATCCTAGTTATGTGCCCAAGAGAAATCAAAAGATATGCTCATACAAAACTTTACACACGAATGGTTATAGAAGCAGTAGTAGTAATAGTTAAATAGCAGAAAAATGTAAATGCCCACTAACTGATAAGTGAATTAGCAAAATGAGGTCTATCCATAGCATTGCTGTTGTGTGCCATCAAGTCAGAACTGACTCATGGCTAAACCTCGGATGCATTTTCAGAGGCAGTAAATCACACAGGAGGAGACTTTCCATCCCTTTCCTGTGGAGCAAACCACATGCCTTTGGAACCACAGCACAAATTCTTACCCTCTTGTCCAGCCTGAGCTCCCTATAATCCATTAATAGTACAGCATCTTATTCAACTGTAGAAAAGGATGATGTACTATACTGATCCATGCTCCAACATGGATGAATGTTGGAAATGTTATGCTAAGTGAAGAAGCCAGACATAAAAGGCTATAGTTGAATGTTTCCATTTATATAGAACATCCAAAAAAGACAAATCCAAAGAGATTGAAAGTAGATTAGAGGTGCCCAGGGCTTAGCGGAAGAAGGAACTGGGGACTGACTATGGATTTTGTTTAGGGGAGTTGAAAGATCCTGAAGTTAGGTTGTGGTGATGGCTGCATAACAGTGTGAATTTATGATAAACATGGATTGTATACTTCATTTGGATGCATTTTGTAGTATGTGGACTGTATCTTGATAAATACATTCACAAGAGAGAAAAAACAAGGTATCATCATACAGCCTTGACACACCACAAGTTTTTACTCCTTAACCAGAGTAAAACAATTCAGGATGCAGTCGACGGTACTGGTCTGACTGACCTGGCTGCCAGAGACACAGGCTTCCGGGTGGTGTAGATGGTCTGCACGGTGGACACGGTCTCTGTCAAAGGCCTCAGGGCCGCCACGGGAATCAGTGGCGAAGACTGCCCAGGGAAGCACTGCAATTTACTGTCTCGGAAGTCAGCCTGGGGTAGAAACAGTGGAGAGCATGTTAGTCTCAATTTGTATTCCATTTCCACACTATCAGCCACTCCCTAAGCTGCACCATACAGCTGCTGTTATTGTTTAATAACATCTAAGATCAATTGCCATTTGTGAAGCAGTTTTCTTTGTGCCTGATGTTAGTCTGGGGCAAAGAGGGCCAAAGAGAAGAATGAAGAATTCAGAACTCAAATGCTGATGGCCTTGTCTGTTGCTGTTAAGAAGAGCAAACAGCCTTGCATGTCTGGCTGAGCTAGCAGGTGGTTCCTAAATCAGAGTGGAATGTCTCTCCCTAAAGACTCTGTTTATAAAAATCCTCCCCAGTAAGTTCACAGTGTGACTTCCCATTCTGCCTCTCCAGGATGAGGAACTCACCCGGGAGCTCCCCTTACACCCTTTAATAAAACTGCATTAAGCTTTCTCCCGTTCTCTCTGATTTCTTCAAGTCCACTAACCTGACACCAGACACTTTGCTGAATATGTTATATGCATTTGTTCTCAACAGCTTTTTAAAATAGATACCACATTTCATCACACCTTAGGCCTCATCGGAGCTAACATAGACCATTTTCACATGTGCCATGAAGATGGCTAGATGTAGCCCCCAAATATGATCATACTGACTATTGTAAGAAGCATTCTGATGCCAGGGATGTTGAAAGATGAAGAAAAGGGAGAAATGTGTGCATCTTAGAGAACTCATTTTCTGCAGGCAGAAAGTGAGGACCAGAGAAATGACTTGCCCAAGGTCACACAGTGTTAAGTACCAGGAGTCACAGCCAGATTTAGTACATTTCATATGTGATGTTTTTCATCACTGACTCACTGGTTCTCCAAACAAGATCCAGTGCCTGATCTATCAGCATTATCTTCATGAAACTTGGTAAGACTGGAAAGTCCCACACTTTCCTTCCCCAAGACTTTAAGAAGCTAAATCTCAGGGGATGAAATCTAGTTTGATGAGTTCTTAACAAGACCTCCAAGGAATTCTGATGCTTGAGACTCCTGGACTAGGGCACGTGCCTCATTAAGAAGAATTTTTATTGTTGTTTCATTACAATGCAAGTTATATTGATTTCCATAAAAAAATTAAGTACATAAATTAGATAAAGGAAAAAATTTCACAATCCCTTACTATTAGCATGATCATTTCTTGTATATAGCTTTTCTTTTTTGATATGATAATATCATGCATGTGTTTGTAAAAAAGTGTATATACCACGACAATTCAACAAGTTTTACATGTATAAATCAATGAAAATTATTACTTTCATCATGTTAGGGAATCAATTAATTTTATACTTGGCTTTTGGCCGCCAGTCTGGGGTTATTTCCAGGCTGAGAAGATGAGCAGAACAGCCAATATAGAAAGTGATGCTGCCCACCAAGGCCTTTCACAATCACTGGAAGATGAAATGCAGCTGCAGCATCTGTGCATGTCATCCCTCAGGTAATTCTCACTCACCACTGATCAAGCACATGGACGGCCTGAACTTCCCAGCCACCCTGAATTTTGATGTGCCCATGTGCCTTCTTCATTAAACCAATGACTCAAGGCCCCAGAAAAGTTATTTCACCTCTGTTGAACCTTTTAAGGGTCAATCTGGCACCTCTCCTCTTTTTATCTGCTGCTATGATGGCCTTTTTGGTGGGTGTTCCATCATGCTGGGTCTCAGAAAGGGGCAGCATGAGGAGAACTCTCAGTCCACTCAGGACATGTAGCAAGAGCAGGAAATTCTACTTGCCATGTTAAAATTGGAGCTACAAGTGCCTCAGTGTTATGTGCAGATGTTGGGCTAATAAATGCCATTTTTAATTTCTACTGAAAAAAGAGGTAAATCAGCACTGAGGGTACAAAGGCAATGGGTCAAAATGTTAGGCCCTTATTATAAATCAAGGTAGTGTTATCAAACTCTCCTGTTCTTCACCATCATGCACTTGAAGTGATAAAACCGTATCTCTAGGTGGCAGTAAAAAGTACCAGTCCTATTAAATCTCAAGTCATGAGTACCTGTCTATTCATTATTTGTTAAATAAGTGAATGAATAAATGCTCCCAGAAACAAAATAGAAACCAAGGGATGAACTAGGTTAGAAGAAGGGCAGTAGACCCATATCCAGCTAGTGTACGAGGCTGGGCATCAAGGAGAGGGCAGTTAACAGACCTAAATACAAGGGAGAAACTTGTTTCAGGATCACACAACGAAGCCAGTTGTTGAAAGTAGGTGGCAAGGTCAATGCTGGATCAACAACTAGAACAACTTTGTGTAGTTACCTGAAGCTTTGTGGAAAAGCTAAACTTGAGCAAAGTCAGGCATCCTGACCTTGGTGAAAAGAACAGCATGTGACACATATGGATAAGAAAATAAAAAAGCTGAAGCCTGTACGTTTGGCTTCAGTTCCCAGTAGCAGCAAGTAACTCCCTAATTTTCAGCCTCTAGTCAAGTGCAGTTCGAATCCACCAGCTGCTCCACGGGAGAAGGATGGGCAATCTCCTTCCATGATTTAGTGCCTCTGAAAACTTCTCAGAGGGTTAGTTACGGGTTGGTTCTGACTCGATGGCACACGAGTCTAGTACTCAAAGAACCTTGGTAGCATAACTAGTTAAGCATTGAGCTGCTAACTGAAAGACAGTGGTTTGAATCCTCCAGCAGCTCTGAGAAGTTGAGGCCATCTGCTGCCATTAAATTTACAGCCTTGAACACATAATAGGGCAATTCTACTCTGCTTGATAGGGTGGTTTGGGAGTTAGTTTTGGTTGGAGTCTAGTCCTCTCATCTGAGTTCCAATATTGGCTAACCAACTGTTCATTCATTGTTTCCACTGAGATTATTAAGGTCATTCTAATGTATCATGGTCAAAGGCAAATTTCTTCTTCCTCTCAATTCAGTCTTCCTGCAAGCTTCCTTAACTCAGTGAATTAACCTTTTCCCCATCTCAGTTGTAGGGAGCTTTGGTGGCTTATGGGTAAGGACTCATATGAAGATCAAGTCTACCAACCACTCTGTGGGTGAAAGATGGGCAATCTCCTCCTTTGTGATATACTGCCTCTGAAAACCCTTTGGAGGGTCAGCTATGGGTCAGTTCCGACTCAATGGTACACAACAACAATAATCAACACAGTTCTAGAAATCAGAAATCTGGGATCCTTCTTTGCCCAATTTCCTTACCAACTTTTAAAATAGGTTCCCACTCTTCTCTGCTACTTCTATCATCAAATCCATTTTGGGTCAAGTTCTCTGCTATGTCTCTTTTGTCATTTCCTTATCCCGGATTTCTAGTAAGTGCTCTTCAATCCACTCTGGTCATTCTAAATCACAGGAATAATTTCTGATTTTATCTACCCTGGCTGTCATTATTCTGCTTAAAATCCTTCAAAGGCTTCCCGTTGCTCAGGATAAAGATCAGAATCTCTAATACGGTTTTGCCCAGACAGTGGATGTGTCTCCTGCAGCCTCTGCTTCATCTTTTCATTCCCCTCTCCCTGCACTCTCAGCAGTCAGCCACACCGGCCTTCTTTGCAGTGTCTTGAATGTGTGATGACTCCTGCTGCCCCAGAACTCTAGTTCACGCTGTGCCCTCTGCCTACTTCAGCTGTAACCAAGCCACTCTGCCCAATTCTTAAAAGTCTCAGTGTGGTTTCTGACGTTGACTTCCTGCTCCATCTTGGCCTCCAGTATTCAGGAAGGGCTCCCTGGTGCCTCCCAGCACTGCCAAGGCTGGGCTGTAGGCCAGAGTGGTCCGTCACGGCCAAGTGAGGGAAATGAGGCCGGAGCTTCCAGCTGAGGAGCTGTGTCCAGCAGAACCACAGGGGCTGGGACAAATGTCTGGGCAGTAATGTTTACTACTCTGGCCCAGCCCCAGTGTCTCTGCCCTGTGGCTCTTAAAAGGCAGGTTCTGGAAGCAGCTCATTTGCCCTGAAAATGAATTCTTCTAGGAACATAGTGTTGCTTCTGCCTAAACAGCTGGATACCTCGTTATTGATCTGTTCATCCTTGGAAATGGAAATCAGCCACTGCTCCTTCCTTTCTTCTCCATGTGGGCTACAAAAAGTGGTTTTCCTCCAGGTCAACAGAACACATTGAGAGCCTTGGCCACTTCATAGCCCAACTTACAGATCATCCATGTAAGTCAACATCTCTTTGGAAGGGACCCCAGGATCATCCAGTTTTAGAGACTGCAGCCTCTGTTTCCTGATACAAGAAGAAGGTGAGAGGACGGAAGGGGTGACCCCGAATCCTCACTCAAGCCCCATGTAGCATTACATAGTGAACATCTATAAGAAAGTGTCATCTAGAGAGAAGCTGGACATCTTGAAAATCCAAATCTATTATCTTGCAGATGAGGAAATGGCAACATTTAAATGCTTGCAGACATTTAAGCATTTTGCTAAAGAGCTTAAACAAGCTGCTCAGAGACTGGCTGAAAAATGGCTGTGAAAAGCTGATTGTCATGACTACCTGATCTCACCAATTGCACCACCCTGCAACTCTACTCTGGAGAAACAAAGGAAATTGGAGACATTCAATGGTTGGTGATACCAAACCAAAGCATATGCCACCGAGGCACCATGATTCTAACTAATGGTGGCACTCTGCGTACGAGCACGGTACTGTACTCAGGAGGGTTCCCAGTGGCTGTCCTCTGTCAGAAGATCTTTAGGCCTATCTTCTAAGGAACCTCTTAGTAGAATTAAACTGTCAACCTTTCAGTTAGTAGCCCCAAGCACTTAACCATTTGCAATCACCAGGGACTCCATGGTTGGTAAGACACTTTGAAATTCTTGATTCTTTTGGATTCTTGCCTCAATTAGACATGTTGTTGTTTGTTGTTTCTGTTAGGTGTACTGAGTCGAATACGACTCATAGAGAAGCTATGAACCAAAGATCGGAACCTTGTATATTCTGATCACAATTTCTCCATTTTAAGAAAGAAAAAAGGTGTTCATACAGAAACCAAAACAAATGGGGGGAAAAAACCCTTTAAACTCATTGTCATGAAGTCATAACTTACTCATAACTAATCCTCCAGTGAGTTTTCCAAGGCTGAAAATTGCACATAAGGAGATTGCTCATCTTTCTCCTGTGGGGACATAGATGGATTTGAACCAGCAGTGAGACACTGCCTCTGAGTTAGCATCACAATTCCATCAAGACTACATTCCTAGAGCTGCCTAAGTGTGACTTACCTAACTTCACAAAACTGTCAAGAAGGAGATCCAGGGCATTTACTTCACTCTCCAAACCCAAAATCCCAGTTCCTTCCCAACTACACATTCATTCTTCGAATGTGTTCACAGTCATCAAAAGAAGCTGTTGGCACTGCTCTCTCACATTCCACAGCAACAAAAGCCATGTGGGAAGTATGTCTGAAAACACTAATCAGTTTTCTGTATCTACTTACAGTAAATGGTGGCCCAGTGGTGAAAGGATCAGGAAATGGGTTCACAGGATCAGCTGGGAATGTTTTTATCTTCAAAAAAAAGAAAGATAAAAGAATGTTACTTTTAAATTAGAAAACCGTTTTGAAGCTGTTGGAAGTGCACTTTTTTGACCTCCTGAAGGAACTAAGAAACACATGGGCAGAGGAGTCACAATGGGTCCTTCAGGAGGTTCGGCGAGGGGGAAAGCTGTGCCACAGGTGTTTTGGGGGCTGGGCCTGGACAGAGGCTGCTGCCAGGTTATCCCACACCCACCTTGCTCTGCAACTTTCTTCTCCAAAGTCAGCTTTTTCAGCCCCAGGGCCCATGCCCACCTTGCTCTGCAACTCTCTTCTCCAAAGTCAGCTTCTCCAGCCCAGGGCCAGCCAGGCATGCTGGTTCCTACAACTGACTTAACCCATGAGAGACCACAGTCAGCGTGAATAATGAGGTAGGCCTGCCTGGGGTGGCTTCTGACAGCTGCTGTACAGCAGTGGACTTACAGCTTAGAGGCTGCTGGAAAGTCACAGCTTAGAACACAGTGTATCATAGAAGGCAGGTGACCAAAGAGGCCTGGGTCAAATGAGGCCCTAAAGTATTCCCTGTTTGTTCACTTTCATTGTTGGACTGTCTATAAACTGACAGAAGCCTCAGTAGAATCCACATATGCAGTCAAGAACATTGTTAACTCTGGTCTTTCAGGTAAAGAAGGCATGGAGTTCAGAAATACCGGGACTGGGTATAGTCACAGCCTAGAGATCATCTTATAAAAGTTGGGTTCTTTCTGTTTAACCGTTTTGTCTTTGGTCCCTTGAAGGTCTTGTAAAGAGCTGGGTTTTATTTCTCTAAGCAGGACTAAGGTACTGCAAGGCCAAGAGACCCAATAACACTGACACTGGCTTTGCTGGAGAAGTTCCAAGCATAAGTATTGGCTGAATAGTTATTATACTATTCAGCTACCAGAAGGCTGTGTCCAGGAAACCAATGGCACCTCTGCTCAATGACAGCAGTCTTACATCTCTTGAGGTCTTGACTATGGACCTTCTGTTAAGAGCTAGGTGCTCTGAAGCCCTGCAAGGGAATTGTAAGGTTGGGATGAGCAAAACCGCAAAACCACATTAGACCAAACCCAGATACACTGAGGTTTTCTGAATGGGGACAGAAACATCTCTTACCATCTGGAATGACAATATCCTTGCATTGTGGTTTGAACTGAAATGTCTAGCCCAGGTTTGTTTCCCTTCCCCAAACTCTCTTTAGTTTCTAAACAACCTAAGATTCCCAGAATGGGTCCTAAACTTCTTTAGACTTGGGTGCCACCTCTGGTAGCTGATAGTAGCTACCTATAGGACAGTATAAGAAGGACACTCAAGGGCATCAAAGGGGATGGGCATCTTGAAATCTTGTTCTTCTGCCAACAGGCATTGCCCTGGTTCTTCCAAATGGTTCAACCTGGTGTTCTGACACCAATAGCAAAGTGACGGGTAAAATATCTAACATATTGAGAAAACTCTCAAAATACCATGAAGCAGAAGGGGAAAGGGTGGTATTGTTAATTGCTATTAGGCAAAGAAATATGAAAGGAACCTCAGAGAATTATTTTATACCTACTCTAAAAAAAATACATGTAGCAAAGCATATTCAGAGTACATGCAGCAAAGTACATTTACTCTTTTCTGATGGTACCACCAACTGGTACAATGACTTCAGAAATGGATAAAAACCCAGAGACACAATATTTAGGCTTGTAGCAGCTAGCCAAAGAGAAGAAAACTTGATTTTAAAAGCTATGTCCCCTTGAATAGTGAAAAACTGGAAACAAAGCACACACCCCACAGTGAAGAAGTGATTAGGTGAATGATGGCTCCCTCAATGGATAGAACATTAGTCCAGTAGAATGTGGTCACAAAGGTAAGGAAGCAACCTCACCACAATGTTATATAAATAAAGGGGGGGGGGAGGAAATAACATGGACCTTAAGATTACAACTATGGAAAAATTAGAAATGAATGTCAATAAACAGTGGAAGGAAACATGCCAAAGTAAAAAAAAAAAAAAAAAAGCATGCTAGGTTGGGATTATGTTAGCTAATTCTTTTATCTTACTGTTTTGATAAATAACAGGTGAAGAAAAATGAAAACAGTTTTTCTTTTAGGTAGAAATACAAGTAAGGGTTCATCTGGTAGATACTAGAACATATTTTTCTTTCTGAAGAATAACATCAAAATTCTAGAAAAACAAATTTTTCCCGAGTATTGGCCCTAGGGAGCCAAAGGGGTGGTATTAAAGCCATGAAGTCATGTATCCCAGCTTGACCAGGGTTGGCCAGAGTCTAAACTCCCCATTCAGCTTGAAGGGAGGGACCCTTGAGCCCAGCTCACTGGAGGTCTAGGGCCATTGTAAGCCCATCAATCACTGCCTCAGAGCTCCTGCCCGCCTCGCCTCTCCTTGCAAGCCCCTTGCCCTGCCAGGTACCTACCAGCCTTGTTTTGATTGGAGGGTGCATGCAAACTCCAGTGGGCTCTTCCTTCATGGGGAGAGAGAGAGGAGGAGAACAGCGAGAGTGGGCACAGTGGGGGACGCTGGTAGGCTCTGCCTGCTCACGTGGAGAGGAGAGAAGGGGAGGAGGAGGAGGAGGAGGTGAGATGGGGAGGAGGAAGAAGAGAAAAGGGAGGGGGAAGGAGAGAAAGATAGCACAGTACAAGAAGGGTCTGTCAACTCCAGACTGACTCCCAGCTTTGGCCAATCAGCTTCTAGCTCCTCCCTCCTCCCACCTCTCTCTCAAACTCTCCTCTCTGGCCCTCAACTGCCCATTCTCAGGTATATGCAAAGACTGCTGGCATGTCATATGTTTTGTTACATATACATTTACCACAAAAACAAAGTAAAACCCATTCCCCAACAGGTAGAGGCCATCATCTTCTGTGTCAAAAATCCCAGGACTGAGAGTGGCATCCTTTACCCAAGCCAAGCCAGAAAGAGATCTGTGATCAATTAATGATGTCTGCTATGGGAGCTGTATAAGGTGTGGCCAAACATTTGATAGCAATGACTTCCATCCCCAAGGCTCTCTGCAACATGCAAAATCAGGACTCCCACTGTTTCTGTGTTGTATATGTGAGTGTATGTCCAACAAAGAGCACTAGACGAGACAGGTAAGAGGGAGAAATATCTGGGTTAGGATTTGACTTGTGATAACCCTTTTGTTAACCTATGTTCAGAAAATGTGCAGGACCTGACCAGCCCCTCTTTCCTATGCCTATGGGTTCAGGCCTTGGAGTCTCCTATTAACCTTTAAGTTGGGATATCTGGAGCATCTTGCTGCTTAGTTGAAAGACATCAAGCATTGCAAGAAAACGGCTGTGCTATTTGGGATTTGAGTTTCCCACCCAGCCCCAGAATCATGCCATGCAGACAGCAGAAGCCCAGCAGCTTACACTGGTGAGGATGAGTGTGGTGAACTACGATGGGGAGCAGCCAACAGGTCAGTGTAAGTGTTAATGTGGGACTCCAGAAGACAAACACACACATTTTTTTAGTTGAAGAATGTTTCCCTGAATCATTGGTGCCATTCTGCTATAAAGAATAAAATATAGCCTCTGAGCACATTTCATTGAAAAACTATCAAGAAAATTGCAGGCCTCTTTCCTTCTCTAAATTGATCTAAGTCTTCTATACAATTGTATGTTTCTGGACAATTTCCAAAGGGCCTTTTATGACCATTCTCTCATGATGGTCTCCACAGTAGACTTGTTTTACTATTCAAATTTAAGTGATTTGGAAATTGCATTTGTAAAGTCTAAATTCATGGTTCCTAGACCTTCATGTTGGTCATTTCCAAATCCATTTTACCACAAATCAGTGAACCCTTAGACTATGCCCATGCTAGTTGCCAGCAGTCCAGTTTTACTAGCCTACTAAAACTCTTCCATTTCTCTCTACAGCCCACAGGGTAAAGCCTACCCTTCTTAAGAAGCTGATTCCTGCCAGATCTCCCCAAAGCCCTCATCCAAGTGTTCAGCTAGAACCAACGTCATCAGAGATCCCAGGCTGCTGGGCCTCTGTCTCTAGTTATCACAGCAGGCAACCTGTGTGTGTCTTCAGAAGAGAAAATGGATATACCACAGAGGCCAAAATAGAGCATAACTGATGATTATAAAGAAGGACTTAAAAGTTTCACCCATTGTTAGACTTTTATGACAAAGACATGCTGATCTATTCTTGTAGGACGTTCTACCCTTTTAAAATATGCCCTGGAGTGAAAGAAAATACTTGGGCTTCCATCCTCAACTCTCATTAAATAAGAGTAAACTAAGGTAACACGTGTAATCACAAGTGATTTTAAAACACTATTTTTTTGGGGGGGAGACAAAAAGTTAAAATCCAGATTAATAACAAAATACAGTCAAAACAGCCTCTGAAATGTTCACACAGGCACCTCAGACTTGGCCTCATGGCTTCCTGGCCAGTAGCCCCAAGTTCTCAGTCCTGCCAATACTGGCTTTCCATCTGCAGCTGTCCAACAAAATCCTCACTCCTGTCAACACTGGCTCTCTCCTCGCCCTCTTCCCAAGGTCTCATTGCACATCAGGTCTCCAGTTTGGCTGTAGATGTTTATAGCTGAAGTAGGAAGGGGATCTGATATTGTCTTGCTTTCTTTTCAATGGTACCAGAAGATCTACGTCTGCAGCTAGAGAGGTTCAATTTATTGGCAAGACTACTCAGTCCCTTTGCAGATTGTTGAGACTGGCCAGTACCATTGTGAAACACTATTTTTTATGCTTTGCTCTTGATAGTTCCTCTCCTCTCCTTGGATCTATCCCATATTTGGCAGTGAAGTTCTTCTCTAGATACTTGGCTTTTCAGTTTTAGAATCTAACTCTTTGTAGAGCAGCAAAGATTCCTGACATAAACATACTGCAGGAAGCATGTCAGATGCCTCCATCAAAGTCAGAAGGAGGAAGACATTAGTAATACTGAAGAAAGTGGCCCTGTGCTCTGCCCTCCACAGACCATCACAGACACAAGAATTGAAGGGCAGAAAGGCTCCAACCTTTGCTGATAGAGGCTTGGAGACAGCCAACTGTGTGCTGTGTCCAGCAGGCAGGCATTCACATATCCCAGCAGAAGAGTGGTTTCTATGCACCCAAAAGGGGTACAGAAGTTGAAGATAAAGTGCCTGGATGTTTCTGTTTACTGATGGACCAAGTAGACCTCCCTCCACCTTCCTGTGCTCTGGAGAATTTTACAACTCCAGGGAGAAGGAAAAAGCATCTTGATTTGACTTGGAACTAAGCTTGAGCCCTCCTATTAGAATAAAATGAAAAACAAAGCTTAATTTTAGCCAAAAGGGAACCCAGTTGTCCTGATGCCCAACACAGGGTCTGTCTCTACACTTAACAGCTTTCCTTTGGTCAGACCTTCCTTCTCCCAACAAAGGAACTCATGACAACACCCCAAGGCCTGGAATAGAACTGGATTGTGTGCTCTGCTGTTGAGTAAGTGGTTTATGGATTTTGAGAATAAGAGAGACCAGAAAAAACGTCAGATTCCAAAGGTTTGGATGCTCACACTGCATGTTCCCTGGGATGGAAGCTAGCACAACACACCTGGAGTGGACAATAGTCATCTGTAATTCATGTATAAATGCACTCTCCTTCCAGCCCCCCTCATCTTGCACTAACAACCCCAGCACATCTGTATGTACACATGCCCCCAAAAGGAAAAAAAATGGAGGCAAGGTGTTGCCTTCTTCCCCCTCTTACCTCCTCTCTCTCCTCTTCTACCCTCCCCTTCCTCATTCCACCCAAGAAACCCAGATCAGCTCATCAACTACTGTGATCCAGAATCTGGAAATGGGAAGGAAATAAACTTTCAGGGTTATCAGGCTTCTCAGTCAGTAATGAGCTGATCTGGATAATGAAAAAGCTAGTGATTGAAGAAGAAGAAAAGGAGAGAAAAAAATTGCAGGAGTGACATTGGAAAGAGCATGTCTGTGCAAAGTTTGAGAATAAAAGTCTTTACAATAGCAGCAGGGTGCAAGAACACTGAAGAAATGGCAAAAAGAGATTTGAGGAAGGCTGATTGGAGTTCCTAATTTAATCTTCTTTGAACTTTTTTGAGACATATCAGGCAAAGGGTGGAGCTTTTTATTATTCTTGGCTGTGCAGAGCTTATTGGAAACTCAGTCCATACAGAGTCTAGACACAAGGGGATAGTCAGAGATCTATCTACACTAGTTCTGAGAGACACTTACTCTGGTGCTTTAGTGAGTAAGGAGCTGCACTGCCAACCTAAAGGCATGAAGTTCAAATCCCTCCTGCTGTTCCTCAGGAGAAAGATGGGCAGTCTCCTTCCAAGTGATTTACAGTCTCTGAAAACCTGCTGGAGGGTTAAGTGTGAGTTAGTTCTGACTCAACTGCAGTGAGTTGTCATCGATAACATCTCGGTGGAATGTTACCAAATCACGAGAAGAAAAGCTGGTCTCTCTCCAATTTTCTGATCTTCTAGCACTGGCATGAGGAGCTGGGCAGCCAGTGGGGGGCTCATCCAGTAGGAAGGAAGGGGTTTGAGGCAGGCTACGAGCACAGAAGTTGGTTGGTTGCACAGCTAAGTGTCTATGACGGCGGGTGTTAAGGATCACTTCCTCTTCGGGAGGGAAACAATGATGGGAAGATGCAGAGAAGTAGCCAGAGGCTGAGATTCACCCACTCACGGAGCTGCCGTCTGAGAACTGCATCCAGAAGGAGTCTTTTCTCCACTTGACCACTCTGAGGACCAGACCTGGGCTGAATGCTTGGAGATGGCCCCCGACCTCTCCCTCTACCACCCCCTACTTAGCCTTTCATGGACAGGACTAGGACATCTGACTAGCTCCATGTAGAAGACATAAGATAGCTCTAGGCCCAGGCCATGTGCCACTGTGAAAAGTGCTGGAATAGCAATATGGGGCCTAGGTTCTAGTCCTGGCTCTGATGTGGACAGGCTATGTGATCTGGTGCAAGTGCTTGGCCTTAGTCCTTACTGACCTCAGTTTCTTCATCTGTAAGCTGACAAAAGGGTCAAGAAACCAAGTGACTCCCTCAGACAGGGTAATGGGAGCGGTCCTGGTCACAAGTCCAGCATGAGGGTGCTGTTCCCTCACTTTGATTTCAGCTCCTTCCATGGCACATAAAGTCTCTCAGTGCTCACCATCGTGTTCAGAACACAGACACGGAATATAGGTGCGGTTACCGAGATAGTGCTACCAGCAAGCCCTGCCTGGGAGCAAGTTTCCCAGTGACAGATCCCAAGTCCACTCTCTCCTGGGTTGTACTCAGAGCCACAGACACCCCCATCGAGATCTCCAGCAGAGAGGTCAGCAGGATGCTGCTGGGAAAGACAGCTGGAAGGAAGAGCACCAGGTGTTAGGCCCAAAGCCCAGTCCTGTCTCCTCCGGGCACCTTTACCTGTCAGGTGCTCAGCAAGATAGGTCTCAGAAGCACTGTAAGGTCAAAGCCAGTCATGTCAAGGAAAACACAGAAGGGAGTAACACCTCACCCTGAATCCTGGACACCTGTGGACACGCCTCAAATTTACACAAGGATGACAAAGATGCTTCAACCCGAGAACCTGTGGTCAGTTACCAACTTCAAGTCAGAGACGGGCAGCGGAGCCTCAAGGCCGTGGGATATGACAGCCCCCTCACTCGATTTCAGAGCTGAGTCAGAGACATAAATGTGGTGCCCCCGGGTGTGTGTGTGTGTATGGAGATGAGCTTGTTGTGGGAGGAGCACAGTTCTGCCAGAATCTTGGTTTCTTTTCTAATCTCAGCAGGTCACAGTTCCATCAAAAAAAAGATGAGGTCATTCAACTAACAAGCAGAAGCCCCAGAACATAAGTCTCTAAGGGAATCTTACCATGTTTGTCAAAACAGATATGTTTTTGTTTTTGGTAAATGGTTCTCAGTTCTATGATACAGTAGGACCTTTAAGAAACAACTCAGTATTCTGCTTATGTTGTGCCATCTGCATAGAATGTGTTGGTCTACTTTCTCCAACCGGTAAACTTCTACTTATTCTTCAAAACCTGGGCACACTGAAGTCTTCCTTTACCCAAAACCTCTGAACATAATTTGGGTCTCAAATTAGTAACAGTTTATACAGATAATCCTAGGTTGTTTTGAGAGACATAGATACCCTCTTGGACTACCCCAGCAGAGAGACCATCTATTGCATCATATCTAGCAGCCCATGAGCTACTTGAGAGATATCTCCTGTCAGGAATGTTTTCTTCAGCCTGATCCTTGGAACTTAATTTGCTCTTCTTTTTGCCTTTGTAGGGCCTCATGCGGTACCTTAGGGTTTCTTGGGTACCTTTGGGGGATTCTGTCCCCTCCTCCCTGCTAGACTAAATGTCCTCAGACTGCTACTTAAGAAAGTTCACACTCATTGCACTGAGTCGGATCCAACGCATAGCTGACCCACAAGCAGGTTTTCAGAGGCTGTAAATTTACACAGGTGGAGACCGCCCATCTTGCTCCCATAGAAGCAGCTGATGGATTCTTACTGCGGGTCTTTGAATTGCCAGAACAACTACTTACCCACTAGGCTATCAGAGCTTCCACAATAAGGCTTCGTATTTCAACTGATGTATTTGCTAGTCCCAGATTTGCCTGGTTTCCTGTCTTTGCCACCAAGCCCCTTCTTTGCCTTTCCCAGTCTGGAGAGAGCTTTAATCGCAGTCCTGCTTCTAGACATTGCTCTTCAAAGTGGAAAATTCCCTAAGAAGAGGCTGATTTCAACCCAGTGTGATACTGAAAAAGAAGCTAGAATCCTGGGCTCTAGTTCTAGTTAAACCCAAGGAATCACTCCACTTAGGGACTTGGATTTCACCCTTCTCTGCAAAGGAGTAACAGAAAGGTCCTATTTCTAGGTTACCCTCCTTGAAGACAGAAGATAAGAGCCCCTCCATCCGTGACTGTCTTGACAACTCGCCCAACAAGAAAGTCAGGAAGAACCCTGAGGTGCTCACCTGAACACAGGAGAAGCGATAGCTCTCAGGGCTTCACAGAGCAGGGGACAACCCACCCCCAGTTCTAGGGTGATTATCCAGAGGCTCTGGCTGGAAGCTTCTCAGATTGTACCAACTCTCCAGAGTCTAAGTATAAATGCAGAAATGACTTCCTGTGCCAGCCAAGCCAAGAACAGTGATAACTCCTAAAACCTGGGCAGCATTTTGTCCCATTTGCTGTCTCTTGGAAGCCTTCCCAGAACGCCTTCCCATCCACCATGCTCCTCCTCCAGCAAATCCTCCCTGAATGACTCGCACTTCTGAAGAACCAAGAGCTCTCTGCAGCTCTCAAGTTCTTGGCTGTTTATCCACCTGACTCCCTGCTGGCCTTCAGGTGCCTCTGGGTCCCCATAGATTAGCACAAAGGTGGGAATACAGGAAGCTCTCAGCAGCTATTTCTAGACTTGGCTCATAATTTGCAGATTCTAATTGATGTTCAAGTTCACTTGAGTACTAAGCTGAGTCCAGCCAGTGAGACACACAGTTTGCCTGGGCCATCCAGCACCAATAATACCTTGCACATATTTGTGGTGCTTTATTCTCCAAGGTTTCTCTCTCTCTCATGTGATCCTTATAACAAACCTATGATACAGACAGAGCTAAAAATGACACTCTTCTAGAAGACAAGGTGGTAACTAGTCAATGACAAGACTCTCAAGGAGAGCACAGATTATCCAGTCTGCACAACTCCTGGTCCAGCACACTCTCTCCTGGAAGTATTTCTCTCCTGTGGGAGTCCCAGAGGAGGCACATCACTAAGAGGGAGAAGAGTATGTAGGGGATGAAAGATGGTGGAGAAGTACTCAGGGACTCCAAAAGCCAGGGTGCAACTGGAGCCAGAGGTTCAGACCACAGCAGGTTGCTGGGAAGCAAAAGCAAGAGGTGCCCTATGGGTGGGCATGGGCATGCGGGGTGCAATCCAGGAAGCCACCAAGCCAAGGCCCAAGCACCAAGGATCCCTATAATCCTTTAGGAATAGCAGACAGAAGCAAGGGAGACTCAGTGGAAAGTCAACACCCGTTTCCTTCAAGGGGTTTAGGAGGTAGAGGAGCTCCTGGGGCCTGAACCCAAGAAAGCTCCTACTCTCTAAGCCTCCAGGCTGTGAGCAAGACAAAAAGAAGACCCTTCTCAATAGCACTGCCCACACTTGTCCAGTTTTCCTACTGACACAATGGTTCTAGGACCTGTGGGTCTTGTTTTAGCAAAACAGAAAGTTTACCAGAGGAGTGGCTTCTGTGAAATCCATCAGAAGATCACCTGGCTCCAAGGTAAAGGCACCTCCTCTGTCAGAGGGGCTCTAAGAAGGTAGACAGAAACAGTCAAGGTTAGTAACAGCTCTGGTTTGACAATCTTAGGTTGTTACATTGACTAACCAAACAACAGACATACCCGTTTCTTATATTGGCTTCATTACCATTACCAAAACACTCTCAATGAGTTGCCTGGAGACACTTCATACCCTTGTGTGCCGAACAGAACTTTACTCATAGTGTTTCTAAGGCTGTGACACTCTGAAAGCAGACCTTTCTTCCGAAGTGCCTCTGAGTGCATCTGAACAGTCAACTAACCATTTGTAGCACTTAGGAACTCTCATATCATCATGACAATTTTCTAACATTTCTCTTACTTAGCAGAGTACAGATAGCTGAGATGGAATCACAATTTCCCCCACTCCCCCAAGAAACTTTATTGGTTAGAACTATGCTAGGGACTGTCAGAAGAACCAACAAATCTAACTTGGAAGCAGTGCAACCAGAAGACGCTTTAGAAGGAAAGAAGGCAAGGCTTCACCTCAAGTACTTTCGACATGTCAGCCAAGGGATCAATCTCTGGAGAGGGACCTCATGCTTGGTAGCGGGTTGGGGGTAAAGACGACGACCCTAAATAAGGGGGCATGGCACACTGGTTGTGACAATGGGTCAAACACTGCAGTAACTGTTGAAGATGGTGCGGGGCCAGACAGTTGCATGCAAATGTACACAGAGCAGCTATGAGCAAGAACTGTCTCTATGACACCAAATAACAACAAGATGGGTGGGGTGATGAGAAAGTATTTTTAAAACCGCAAACAACTTTTCCTGAAGGAGGCTGGGATTCACTTTCTAGAGTTCTCTGATGGGCCTTTTAGAGGACCCTCTTTCAGGAAACCTTTGACTGTATAAAAGGAAAGCCAAGATTGCAGCTTGGATCAGGCAGGTGAAAGCTCCAACAGGCTTACGCTGATCTGCACAGAGATCTTCACAATGGGTGAGGTGCAACACCTGAAAATTGTGCTTCTTTTCGGAAAAATGGGTTTTTTGCTGCTTTGTAGCCTTGGCAACTTAGGAGGCCTTCTTCAAAGTCCCACAGTGAAAGCGGGAATGAGCCTATCCATTTGGCAGGCCCTAAGGAGAAAGCTGGCCAGGAGAGGGAGCCATGTGGCTTCTGGTAGAATGCTTTCCTGTTGTTCCCAGGCCTGCAATTAGATTCCATAAATATTCCAGCCTGGTTTTAACTGCAGTATGGAAGATGATAAAAGGCCATGTCCACACCTAAGACAAGGGACCTCACTTCATTGAGGGAAACCTGACTTTAGGGACCAGGAGATGTGTGACTTTGCCTGTACCATCCATCCAATGACAGTAATAATACTTTGCACATATATAGGGTGCCTCATTCTCTAGTCACATTGGACACAAAGGGCTACTTGTTTGACTCCTAACTTAAAGTTGTCTGCTTTAAACCTTCCCAGAGCACCTCAGAAGAAAAGACTCAACAAACTGCTTCTGAATATCACAGCCTTGAATATCCCACGGAATGTACTTGTACTCTCACACATGAGGCTGCCATGGGGCCAGGACTGATTTGATGTCTTTGAGTTTGTTGTTGTTTGACTTACTGTAAGGAATGGGGTAGGGCTAGATCTATGTTTTCACTCTTCCAAACTGTCTACACTTGTTGCTTAAACACATCAAATCGGATCTGACTGGTACAGGGGAAGATTGCCCCTCCTTTTCCAGCACAGCATCTGATGGATTCGAATCATATACCTCTGGGATTACAGTGCAGCTTCTTGCCACTAGGCCACCGAGCTCCCTGCTTTTGAAGTATACTGTACATGGTTTTACAGTATACTGCTGGTCTCTTATAAACAACTGACTTGTGCTTTGGCAACTAGCTTTATAAAGCACATGTCTGGTGGCTGTTAGTATTGTCTGAGGGTTCACACAGCTCATTACTCAGACACACTGCCATTTCCCAAAATGCACACTGAATTCCCAGCAAACCCTGCGACTTCCCTGGGCTTCACCCCATACCTTGGCCCCTGGGGATGGCTGACCCTTGCCTTCTGACTTCTGAGGCGAGCTGACTTTCTGGACCTTGGGAGACGCCAGGGGCACTGATATTTGGGTGGTGGTGATGATGGGAGTGGTGGTCGCGTTGGTGGCTGCGGTTGTAGCCGCTCCCACTGCCTCTGCCAAGTCTGGAGGGAGGTCGTCTTCATCACTGCGGTTACTAAAAGCACATGAAGCTCTGCTCATTACAATAAACAACACACTGTGGGAGTAAAGGGAAGGGGGGAGGGGCAATGTTTCCCCAAAAGGACGTCAAACAGATGTCCAGCTGATGGGATCAGCACTTCCCCCTCCCACCCCCCCACCCCGGTCCTCAAATCCAATTTGGACTGGATTTGTTGTCACTTGTCAGGAAATACTTTTTTGAGTAGCTTTCCTTAGGAGAATAATACGAGTCTCAATGCCCCATTTGAACTAGCAAAAACATTTCCTCACACTCATAGAAATGAATACAAGCTCCTTAGTCCTTAGTACCAATCAGTTGGTGGTGGTGGGGTGCACCATCAAGTCAGAACGCACTCATTGCTGACCCTCCAGCTTTTTCAGATGTGGTAAATTGCGTGGCAGGAGAGACTGCTCATCTTTCTCCCACGGAGCAGCTGGTGGATCCAAACCGTATTCCTTTGGGTTGGTAGCACAATTCCCCACTATCCAGCCACCAGAGCTCCCTTGACAACCAGAATTCTGCCTTTATAATAAGGCATTATAGTAAACTCAGCAGACCTGACGTGCTCAAACCTTACACATTCCAAAAAAGAGCTGGTCTTGAGAGACAGACCTCTGGGAGAGACAGTCTCTGAGCCCCTGGAATATCTTGCTCTGAGCCCTTGGTCTGTGAGTGATAACTGATGCGATTTATGGTGAACGTCTGACTTGGTGTGCCTGGGTCCTTTGGGTCCTGCTACCTCAGTCTGAGCTCTGACGGGTGATAGAGTGAGAAGTTACACAGGTGCTCCAAATCTACCTGCCTGACTCCCAGACACTAAGACTCAGGTGAATCTCCTTGTCTGTCAACACATTATACAACCTGTCACCACTGCTAGTGGGAGATTCAAGTGCTGTCCGTGTAAGTCTACTAGGACAGGACACTGAAAGCTTATACTCGGTTTCTTCTAGCCTCTATTCTGTAGACTTTCTTCCTTGGTTGATTTAAACCTGTATCCATTCACTGTAATAACTCATAACCTTGAGAAGGACCTTTCCAAGTTCTGTGAGTCCTTCTAATGAAATATGGAACCGGGGACCCACCATGCTTCTCCTCAGGGTTTTTTCCATGTAAAAGTTTTGAGCCACTGTTGCACAGGGATTGTGAGTTAAAAATGATGATTGAGCTTGGTGTAGACCAGAGACCTATCACCAGTGGCTACCACTTGGCAGATCTCCAATAAAGGCCTTCCCAGAGGTAATTTTAAAAACATGGGAAATGTGGCCACGGGACATAGCATGGGGTGGACTGACTGAGGAGGGGCTCGGGGATGTATAGATTATTCTGCAGGTGATGAAGCCTCAGGACAAGAAATCTGTATTTATTACTACCAAGAGGCAAAGATGAGGTTTGAACAAGTGAAAAAAGTTAAGATGTTATATACTTGGTGGGACATTGATGAAATAAGTCAGATTTCGTGGCATATGCATTAGCCCACTTGATTTTTACAACACTGTAGTATGATTTTGATTTTTCAGAAAAGTCAGTGATATTCAATGGCTGATTGATAAATGACTTGTCCAGCATCACAGATCTACTTAGGTAGAAGAGCAGGTTAGAACTGGCTTTTGCCCCACTGAAAAACAGTATAACCTTAAAAGCACAGCTACTGTTAAGTTCACATAAAAGGCCATTTTTCAAAAACCTACCAGCTTCTGAAAGAAGTCAATGGACATTGTACAAAATTGAAAAAGACTCCAAGTTCCTAATGGTTTTCACAAACTTTGAGTATCTTAACTTAGACCTTATGATGAAGAAATATCTACCACAAACTCAGTAAATAAATTTTGCCTGTTTCTTTGCTGTCTATTAAAATTAAGAGATATTTTCATAATTAGAAAATAGTATACATAGGATGATTTCTTTAAAAGTCTTACTTCCCTTTTTAACAGCCAGGAGAAGCAACTGGCAGTCTACTTCTTTAGAGATTTACAGCCCTGGAAACCCTCTGGGGAAGTTCACAGAAAGATGTCAAAAGTAACAATCAGCCCAGTAGGCACTGATTATTTTGGAGTAATATATATGGAGTAATTCTTGGGGATCAGTTACTCTTGTACCTTTATGTTTTGCTGGAGTCTCTTTTAGATTCTTAAACTATGTTTACAGTAAAGTTTTAGTTCTGAAATAAAGTGGCAGGTCATTCCAACTAACATCAATATAAAAATGACACTTTCACCTACTTCAAATTCTTTCCAGAGTTCCTCTGCTTCTCCCTTCACCCTATACAAGCAAACATGCTAAAGTTCTCTTCTTCTCTGTCTCTTATTTCTAGGGGTTTTTTTGGTTTGGGGTGTGTGGCAGGGTATGTTTTGGCAACTGTGTGTAGTAAAAACATACATAACAAAACATTTGCCAATTCAACAACCTTTACATGTATAATTCAGTGACACTAATTGCATTCACTGTGATGTTCAACCTTTTACCATCATCGTTTTCCAAATTATTCTACAACCTTTAACTGAAATTTAGTACAGCTAAAATTTTTTGTGTGCATTTTAAAAAAATCCTTAAAAGCAGCAATATGAAAGCTGTTCAGAGCATGAGAAAATTATGTTTTTAGAGGAGGTACTTAATATGTGAATATATACAGTTACTGCTGTAAAAACACCCTCAAATTCTTTGCTAGCAAGTTGGAACCAATTCCAGCTGATCCTCCAAGTGAGTTTTCTGAGGCTTTAAATGGCCTGGGAGGAGAGTACCCATCTTTCTCCCTCAGAGGACTGGTGAGCTCGAGTCGTATGACCTTGGGTTGACAGTGTCACTTTTTACCCAGTAGTCCACCTGAGACCCTTGTGAGGATTATAGTGTGTGTTTTTAGTGATGACTTCATTTATGTAAAGTGCTACACACACAGCCTCATGTGGAAGAGGTACTGTATAAACAGTGTTACACTCTGCAGAGTGTTGTCATCCCTATTCTTTAAATTGTCATGACAACCTTACTAGCTATTTGGGGTGAAAACTGAGGCCTTAGGAACTTAAAAAAAAAACACCTCATTGCTGTTAAACTGGAACCACTCTTGGCCAACCTTCCATTGGGTTTCTGAAATCACATGGAAGAAGTCTGCCCATCTTTGAACTGCCAGAAACCATGGTCTTCGAGTTAGCAGCATAAATCCTCATGGACCATGATACCAGAGCTGCTCTCTCTGTAGGAACTAGATGTATTAGAAGGCTAGAAAAGACTAGAAGGCTGGAAGGCTGACTTCATCTCCACCTAATTCCCATATGCACATACATCTGAAAAGTCATAATTAAGGAAATACTTTTAGGCAATCAGAAATCTGAGTCTTTCCATCTGTATTTCTTGACCACGTGTTTATTAATTTTATCAGTATCCATGAGTGTAAAGAGATGAGCCAAGAAGTGGGTAACTAACGTCAACAATTCAAGAACTATTTATGGGGAAAGTCTACCCATTAATTTGCCTCGATTCTTCTATGGGGAAAATGCTGCCAGGCTTTGATTTCTGAAGCAAAAATGTGCTGGGTCCACTTAAGAAACACATGTATGAAATTAGAGCTTTAAAGGGGTTTCCTTGAAGAAGCCAATTTGGTGAGTTAATTAAATTTTCTTTCCTTCTAGGCCAGGTATCAGGCAGTCACTGTCTCCAACATGATTACATATCCCATATGGACGATAATAACATTTTGAGCTCCAAAGTATAAAGAAGAGGCTAAGTCCTGCCAGCTTTATCCTCAGTGGGAGAAATTTTTCCTAGTTTAATTTGTCCCCCAGAGATCATTAGGATTGTTAATTATTTGAACCTTATTCACTTTGGCTTTCCCAGGAAAGACAGCTGCTGTACTGCTGAGAAGTTTCTGTTAATAAGGTGGGGTATGTGGGCTGTTTGCTCTTAAACCCCCTTCCCCTGCCTCTTCTCCGTTCCACAAGATACAAGAAATAGGCCTGAGAAGATGGTCTCTGTGAGAAAAGTGAAGTTAGCTATTCTACACTTTCTACATAGTGGGTACCTTCTAAATGGCATCTTTTGTTAGTAGCTTCCAGATTCTAGAAAAGAAAAGAAAAGGAACTAACTCGTGAGCCGCTGACTAGGGGTTTTACCTGTTAATCTCTCATCATCCCTCAGAGATACGTGTTCTCTGTCACACAGATAGTGATTTTTTTTTGGCTTGCTAATACTCTCTCTGGCTCTTCTCTGGTGCTTTCTCTAATGAAGAAAGTTAATGAGTTCCTCAGAAAGGTAACTACATAATTATTTTTTAAGTTAAATAGAAAATTATAACATGGCCCAGCAATTCAATTCCTGAATACAGTCATGCATAGCTTAAAGTCTATTATATGTTCTATAAGTTGGGTTTGCCCTTCAATCCACATGATTAGCAACTTCTCCATATTTAAGTCCTTATCACATGTTCTTTGACTTTGTAGCATTGAGTAGAACCAACTTTTTATATTGTCCTGGAGATTTTTTTGTTTTATAGGGTGGCTATTGTCCAATAATATGTGTCTATATTGTGACAACAGCACTCACTGACATCCACCTTGTTGTTTGTATTAGGTGTCATTGGGTACGGCTCATAGCGATCCGATGAACTACAGATGTAAACCCCATCCCACCCTGTGTCATCCTCCCAGTCTCAGACACCCTTGAGGCCAGAACTTTTTGTCTGCTGATGGGTTTGAGTTGCCAAACTCCTAACCAGCAGCAGAGAACCTAACTATGGTGCCACCACGGCTCCTTTATACATCCTTTAGCACACATAAAAATTTTCTTTTTGAAAAAGAAAGAAATCCATGTGGCAAGAAACTGAGAGCAGCCTCTGGAGAACCACCAATAAAAGTCCAGTTTCCTTAGTCAAATGGCCCTCAAGGATCTGAATCCTGTCAAGCACCACAGGAGTGAAGAGCAAATTCACTGTTGATAATCCAGAACCAACTCATAGGTGACCCACCAGAGGCAGCTGTCAATTGCACAGGAGACTGCAGAGAAGATACTGGCTATGAACCACCTGTCTGTGGATTGGCAGTACAACTCCTTATCCACTAAGCTACCAGAGCTCCCCAGTTAAGACCACAGCTCTGGCCAATGCCTTGATTTCAATCTATGAGAGGGTCAGAGACCCAACAAAGTCACACACACACTTCTGACCCACAGAAACCATGAGGTTTTAAATGTTTCTGTCTTAAGCTTCTAAGTTTTAAAGTAACTGGCTACACAGCAACAGAAAGCCCTAGTTCCATTATGACCATGATTAGAAATAAAACAAACTTTTGGGATGAGTCTTTAGGGATAGGGCGAGGGTCTAGGAAGTACTGATGTCCATACACTTAGCATCGATTGCTTATGTTCTTAGAATTTTAAAAACTTGCAGTACAGAACTCACAAACTATATTGTCTTGTTAACTTTCTCACTCTGGGTGGCTTCATTTCTGGCTTTTCCACAGCTGGCTGGGCAGGTTCCACACGTATAGGGATAGGACTTCTATGGAAAGACAGGTAGATAGATAGATATAAAAAAAAATAGAACACATCAACAAAAAACCGTTATGGCCCTTTTCCCCCCATATAAGCTGCTTTTTCAGTTAATGTATGCCTTAATAGTGATGAAAGGTAGGAAATATAATTTATTTCCTCACAATTCTACTTATTAAATATAAAAACAAATACTACAGAAAATCCAAAAGCAAAACAAAACAAAAAGCATAGAAAAGAAAATATAGCAAGTGGGGAAATGAACAGCAGTAAGGTAAAGAATAAAACTAAAAGCCAAAAGTGCCTTCCCTCCAATATCAGAGTTTGGTTCAGATCCAAGTTTTGCTAATAAAAAGAATGAAGAGAAACCCAGGCATAATCTGGTTTTACTTTCAAGTAATCCAGTAACTATGGCATTTAAAGTACAATACAGAGTATATTTTAAAAGGAAAAAGGACCACAGGGTATTTAGCATGGAAAAAGTGCAGAACAGAAAACCTATTAGGGCTGATTCTAAAATGAATTTTAATCCTATGTACATGTAAAATGTGAAACATTAAGTTTCACTTTTACACCTCCTCAAGAAATTATACCAGCTAACCAATGAGCCCTATGAAAAATAGTATTTTTAAGGAAAAATTTATGTATTTTTCAGTGGTCATGAATAATTTTAATAAAAAATAAATATGCACAACAATAGTTATACTTTGGAACCAAAGGACATAAATACAAATGGAAATCCTAAGCAAGGGACCTTTGGCTAGTGAACTCTCCCGGGTCCCCATTTTCTCTTCTATTCTGTGGCTGACTTAGTGATGGCCATAGCCACGGCTAATAAAAAGATATTGAGTAAATATATAAATGAGTAGATACGGGATTGGAGTCATTATCCTGCAGGTTCATGACTTCTTCAAGCAGGGTCCCCACAGTAAACTAATGTGGTCCCTGGAAGAGCTCACAGTTCAGCAGGGAACACATAATTTTGCTAGTGGAATGGCTGGTACTGGGATAGCTTCAGAGGAGTATACACTACACCAGATAGAGAGATGATAGACAGAATGGAGAACAGTGCTGATGGGTGAGGTCCCAGCCAAAAAGCAGACTGAGACTAAAAGAAAGCACAGGTCAGGTAATGAGGGCTCAGGTGCAGGAGAATTTACACCATAGCTAATGAGAGTCGCTATGGCTTCAAACAAGGAAGCGGCATATGATGGTTTGTATTTTAGAAAAAGCTTTGGTGAAACAAAGGAGACAGTGGTAAAAAGAAAATGTGGAGGCCCTGAGTTGGAAAGAGATTATGATCAGGAGGAGGAGAAAGTGGACGTGGAAGATAAATGACATTAAAACTGACAGGATTTGGTGACTGATTAGAAAAGAGTGTGAAGTAAAATCAAGGACTCCAGGTGACAAGCCTGGATACTGAGGAGACAATAATGACATTATTAACCAAGACTAAAAACACAGTTGGGGGAGTAGCTACACGGGGGAAAGTGAGTTAATTTTTTTTAATGGGCATATGTCTCTGATATATGATAATACCAAAAACATGGACTTGGGAATCATAAGGTGGTAGAGAGTTAATGTATCATCTATTATAAGAATTCTCTAGTCCACAGGTAATACAACTGGCTACCCCACTGAGCTGCCAAATGAAAGGCAAGGGATGTGATTGCACCCAGAAGTACCTTGGAAGAAAGGGCTGGCGATCTGCATCTAAAAAGAAAAGTCAGTCCTGGAAAACCTTAGTGAATAGTTCTACTCTTAAATACACAGGGTCACCATTAGGCGGAGTCCACCTGATGGCAAATGTTTGGTTAAGAAAATTGTCAGGGAATGGTTCTCAGGTCACTTGGGGTGCTTGCTGACATCCCCATTCTCATCACCATTCCCTCAGAATCTAAAAACCCGTAGGTATGAGTTAAGAAACTGCATTTTTAACAACCGACTCTGATTCAGTCTTAGATTCCCTCTTAGGTGGTCAAAGAATTCTAGCCTGTAGCTGTTTCTCACAGAAATTGAGAGGTGAAACATTTCTCCTCTGTGTGAGATTAGGGGAGAGATTGCTTCCTCTGGGTTTGAGGCAGAGCAGAAAGGAAGTTGTAAAGAGCACAGTACTAGCAAGTAGCTCAGTGCCAAGACCATGTCAGAGTAGGCCCCAGTGGGTCATGAAGGGCCTCCCGTGGTCTGGCCCCAGCAAAGCTGAGCCTTGAAAAGGCTTCAAATGGGAATGACAAGGTCAAATGTACAAGCTTGAGAGATCTGCAGATCTACAAGCCAAATCAATCCTGAGTTTTTCATTACTATGGTAGGTAGAAATATCAACCCACCGAACAAGCAACATGTTAGAGACAATCACTTATTATGCATCAGAGAGTTGGACAATGACTATGGAGGATAGAAGAATTGATGCCTTTGAGCTGTGGTGCTGAAGAAAAGTACTGAATATACCATGGACTGCTAAGAAAACAAACAGGTTCATCCTGGAGAGGGTTAAACCGGGCTGCTCCTTGGAGGCAAGGATTCTAAAGCTTCGTCTGACATACTTTGGACATGTTGCAAGGAGCGACCAGTCCTTGGAGATGGACGTCATGCTTGGGAGGGTGGAGGGACAGCGCAGGAGAGGAAGACCCTCTATGAGGTGGATTGATTCAGTGATTGGGGTAATCGGGGTGGGTGTGTCTGAGACAGTGCTATTGGCACAGGACAGAGCAGAGTTTAGGGATGTTGTACATAGGGTCACTATGAGTCGCAAGCGACTCGACGGCACATAACAACAACAACAACAAGAAGCCAGGTGGGGTGTTTTCTACCTATTTAGGCTCAAATTCTCTATTTCATTTTTCTTCTCTGACTTCTTTCACAAATGTCCTCATGGGCCATGTTTTGAGGATAATGTTGTTGATACAGTGTCATTTTCCCATTTGAACAAGAAGCAACGGACCTTACATTAGCATCCTGAAGACTGGATTTCTTATTGATATTTACAAACGTGGATTCCTCTTTTCCAACCTGTTAAAAAAAACAGGTTAGTCAAACCAGAACATTTTGGCATGCACAAATGCTTTCAAATCTGCTCCATTTAAAAGCTTAAAGACACATGAAGGTGGACCAGAGAGAATTCATCAAGTCTTCAGTAATAAACCTTGTTCTGGTATTCATATATTTTATAGGTAAATGTTCTCTTGAGTCATTCCCCACCATGGGTATCAAGATGTAATCATTCAGACACAATGACTTCTTGCATTCTTACTATTTTACTGAAGGTCTGCTATGTGCCAGCTCCACAAGAAAGCAAAGGAGATGGTGTGCAAAGAGCCAAACCCACAGTTTAAACCTCTCACCCCATTTTAGATCAGGAATCAGATGTACGCTCATATAGCTCTTAGTTTACAAAGGAATTCAGAAGCTGCCCTTTCACATCAGCCTGGGAGGAATTATGTTGTATTAGTTTGATAGAGCCCTTTAGTGATTCCTACAAAGAATGGTATGGGTGGGGTTGGTCTGGGTGGGATATCCACGTACTCAGTCACTAAGGCCAATTCAACCCATACTGAGGTCACTGGAGGCCTGTGGCTCTCAAAGTCACCATTACACACAGAGCTCTCTTAATAAAGGTTGCTGTTTTAATACAGATGCTGCTTTTAATATATGTTGATCAAAGACTTAAAGGATACTGATGGGAGGATATCACATTATAGCCTTCCAGGTTTTTCCAGATATGAGATCAGCTCTGCTTTCTATCAAAGTCTTTTCAGACACATAGCAGACTGTCAAGGGTGCCCTGATTGCACAGAGGGTTACTGCTGGGCTACTAATGTGAAGGTTGGGAGTTGGAACTCACTGGCTGCCAAGAGAGAGCCCCTGCTATGTGGCAGTCTGCTTCTGTAAAGATTACCAAAAATTTCATTCTTGTCAAATTGATTCCGACTCCTAGTGACCCTACAGAAATGAGTGGAACTGCCCTAGAAGGCTTCCAAGGCCGTAAATGTTAATGGAAGCAGATTGTCACATGTTCTCCCAAGGAGTGGCCAGGTAAATTCCAACTGTAGTTTTTTCAACCAGCAATTAAGCACTGAACCATCGAGTTGACTGCGCCACCAGCCTTGGAGACCTTGTGAGGCAGTTCTACTCTGTACTAGGGGGTTGCTCTGAGTCAGAAATTACACAATGGCAACAGGTAGCAGAGGGTCATGTCAGCCTGTTGGTTTTTTGCTTCTTTTTTGAATACTTATTAGCATTCATGCTAATCTGGAATTAACATTTAAGCCACTACTGATGTCTGGCTATGCATCACCACCTCCCCTTCTCCTTGCCCTCACTCTGCCCACAATATCCTCTAAACCAGTGTTTTCTGGAGCATGTTTCTGCATTCCCATGAACACCCCTACCAACCAGAGGTGTCAGTGAGAGTAACTTTACAAAAGGCTTCTCTACTCAACTAAGTGTAAAACAGTAAAATAGATTTCTTCCTGCAAGACTTCTTGGAGCACACAAGATGCTAATTGCATTGTGACACCCCTAGGGGATTTAAAGTGCAGAATTTCCAAAACCAGCGGGGAGCAGCCTGAGAGGCTGGTGCCCGTGATAACACATCTTGGGAAGCAATGATCTAAAATTACTGGATTCACACCTCCCCTTCTTTCCTGCATCCCTGTTCTCCATCATTCTTGTCTAGTCAGGAAATCAACTTGTATTCTTACATTCTCCATTTTTTCTCCACATTTCACGATATAAAGTATTTCCAATATACTTCAACTCTTCAATGGAACGAAAACACATGCAAGTTCCACAGACAGTGTCATGGGTGCCAATGAGAACAGGATAGAAATTTCCAATGTATGTGATATCTCAAAAGAAACCTCATAGGCTTCGAGTCACAACAGACTCCGAGCTGACCGCCCAGTGAGCTCTGGGGGCAGCAAATCACACAGGAGGAGACAGCTTGTCTTTCTCCTGAGTCACTGGCGGATTCAAGCTGGCAGAGAAGCACCACCTCTAGGTTAGTATCACAACTCCCTATGTGGACTACCAATCTCATTTGTTCTGTCACAGCACAAAAGTAGCTAAACTGAAAACAATGAAGGTAAAATTAAAACCAACAAACAACAAAAATGTGCTCTACAACTGAGCTTGATCCGACTGTCCCACAACAAAGCTGTGTTCCCCCACATTTTCATCACACCACACCTGCAATCAGTCGTGACAGTGTCTCCACAATGCTACAGAAGGCACTATGGCAGGTGCTTTCCATGGACTGTCTCATTTACTCCTCAAAGTAATCCAAGGTGGTGGATATTACTTGTCCTTATTTTATGCCAGAAAGAATGGAAGCTAGGAGGCTAAAAATAAAGTGACATTGCCATAACTAGTCGACTAGAGATTCAAACCCAGATAGTCTGACTTTAAAGCTCCTGTTCTATACCTTACTGCTGCTGCTTTACGTGTAAATGGAAGAGACTCTAGAAGCTTTCTCTTATGGTCCACGGTATGTTCTGAAGGACCTAAATCATGCATTCAGACTGCTATATCTATAAATAATAATAGAAGTAATTCGTGGCTGTTTACACCAGGCTAGGCAACACAGTCAGAGATACTTGGTTCATAAGCAATGGAGACCATTGTATACTTTCTGAAATAAAATAAAACTATAGGTTTTTTAAATATAATGCTCCTTGGGGAGAGTTAGTAAAAGACAACTCAATTAACTAACCAGTGCTACCTCCTTGGAACCTTGAGTAGAGAAGGATGCTGATGTGTATTTAGGCCCAGAGGGGAGGAGTGCAATACTCAACCAGTGATACCTGTTATGACTACAAACGGGAGGGATTTATGGCAGTTAAACCCTCACTCCACCACTTTCCATTCCACTAGGGCAGAGACACAGCAAATCTCATTTCTTCCTTGCAAAGGCCCCACATAAAATCTTCCTATAAGGAAGGATAAGGAGAGAGGAACTTCTCCTTGCTCTCTATGTCCAACAGCTCCTGGGAGTCACCCCAGTTTCACAACTTCACCCCTGCAGCCACTGTTCCTTCTGTAGCAACAGCTCGATCCAGGTGGTTGTTTTCTAACACTCACAGATACCACTTTCTCTTAGACCCAGCTTCCTGGAGTCTAGCTCAGGCCTGCATCAGCCACACAGGACCCTCTCCAAGAGCATGCGTCTTGTCCCTGAGGGGTCATCCTCCAAGCTTAGAAACCACGGCACTGACTGAACACCAAGTTTCTTCATGGGACTTGTTCTGTAAGCACCCAAATTTCAATCATTCTAGCATCTTTCCATTCTTCCCTCAGAGCTAGAGTTTACAGGTGGATTGGGAAGTGCTTCCTTCAGTCGCTACCTTAGTTATTCCTAGTGTGGTGCTCTGAGGATCTCAGAAATCCAAGTTCACGGACCCCACCGTGACTTAGTAAATCACTGGACTGAGGCTCAGCTCTCCAGGTGACCCTTATGTACATTCAAGTTTGCAAACTATTACGTTAGAGTTCTCCCTTTGCCCTTTTACTTACCTACTTAATAATTTCTTGTTAGTTAATGATTCCTTAACAGTTAATAGTTCCTGGAGGGTACAATTGTTAGTGTGTGTGGCTACTAACTCAAAAGCTAGAGGCCTGTCTACCCAGGGGCATTTTGACATGACTCTCAACATCAGAAAAATCACCTACAGAAAACCATCTGGGGTCAAGGTCTACTGTGACACACACACACACACACACACACACACACACACACACACTGAGTGTGAGTGTGTGCGTGTTTTGAGTACTGTTGAGTCAGAACTAACCCGTATATGACCCTCCAGTGGGTTTTCAGAGGCAGTAACCCTCACAAGAGTAGATTTGCCATCTTTCTCCAATGGAGCAGCAGGTGGATTTGAACCACTTGCTTTCAGGTTGGCATCGCAGCATCATACCACTAGGCCACCAGAGCTCCCCGAGTCACTAGGAATTGGAATTGATTCTACGGCAGTTGGTTTTGGTTTTAATACATTTTTATTTTAGTATCTCTGTTGCTACAAAAGGCGTAGCTCCTGTCTCCTGACTGACTTAGCACCCCAGGCCTATAGCCCTTCTTCCTGCTAGGAGGCGCTGAAATCCAGTGACGTGAAATCGTAGACATGGACGCGCTCCACACACCTGGGCATTCACTCTGGACGCGTTCTCCAGCTGGGCTTTCAAAATGTTACACTTCACGTGCTCAGCTATCGGGGAAGGCAAAAGGGGGGTCTGAAGAGTCTTCTCGGAAACTTTCTTTTCTTCAGCCTGTGACAAACCAAAATATATGCAACAGATTGTTTTGAAAAACAAAACACAAACCATGAAAATTACTTTTTTGCAACAAACATAACTGCAAATCACACACCGACCGAAAATGTAGACAAGCATGTCTCCTCCTCTTTGCATGTGCTCTATGCTTTACAAAAGACATACAGACATCATCCTGCTCTCTGGTGAAATAAGGAGAGCATGTCTCATGAAGCCCATTACTATGCAAAAGGCAGGGTGGCAGTTTACATTTATGAAGAGACTTTTCCAGAGTCGTGTGGCTAGAACAAGCAGGACTCAAGCCTCAAGGCTCCAGCACCATAATTTAGCTCTCTTCACCAGACCGGTTGCCTCTTACAGGCTTCCTAGGTGATGCAAATGAGTAACATTCTTGACAGCTAATGGAAAGGTTTGGAGGTTCAAATCCAATCAGGTATGCTTTAGAAGAAAGGCTTAGCTATCCACGTCTGAAAAACCAGTCATTGAAAACCACGTGTTTTTCAGTGACACAGATGCCACCCTTAATCAGAGTCAACGTGATAGCAACTGGTTTTTTTTTTGCAACTTCTCACTTATAAAGACTCAATCCTGTGATTGTTGGGCCAAAGGAAAGAAAAGGAAATACATATTAGCATAAATACAACAGAACTTGTTGACTATTGTGAGCCTCAAGCTTGAGAGACTGGTATCTATGTTATCTCATTAGGAAAGTGTTTCTTATTTCAATAAGTTAGTGCTGCTTCTGGCATTTTGGGGGGTTTTTTGCTATATGCCACATATGAGGTCAATATGGACTTACACTTTGCTAATGTGAATTACTCTGGCAGTATCTATTTTAACCATGTCCTAAGCAACAATATCTTTAAAATCACAGAATTACTATTATATGCACCTAAAAAACAAAAAGGAAAAGAAACAAACCCCAAAACACCTCAAAGCCACTGAGTTGGAATCAACTCATAGCTGCCCCTCTGGCAGGTTTTCTTAGGCTGGAAATCACAAAGGACAGGAAGGATCAGTCCTTGGAAAAAGACATCAGGCTGGGAAAGGTGGGTGGGGGAGCAGTCAGAGAAGGTGAGGAAGACCCTCAACAAGATGGACTGACTGGTACAGTGACTGTAACAACGGGCTCAAGCACATCAGAGACGGCCAGGACAGGGCAGGACAGGCAAGGTTCAGATCTGTCGTTCACTGGACTCCTGTGAAGTATGGTCAACTCAATGACACTGGAGAATATCGCCTCTCTTTCTTCCATGGACCAGCTGGTGAATTCGAACCACGCCCTTTTGCGTTAGTAGTTTTACTCACTATCCACTAGGCCACAGAGCTAATATTTATATTATCATTGAGATAAAAATACTCATTTATGTGTAAAACATAAACTTATCCTTGAAGGCATACATACTACACATAGGGAAATAATGTCTTCTTATCAATCACACCTACTGTGGTCATTGCATATCCTAGTACGGTGCATGGCAAAGGGCATGTGTCTAATAAAAAGCCACTGAAGAAGATGATGATGTCACACAGTTATTGTCAGAGAGATATGTATTCAATAAAAAAGGTCCAAGGGCATAAGATTGCTAAACAGCACCTGAGGGATACCATGACTAACTTAGCCATAATGTAGCAAGAGAATAATAAACTGTTCTAAAACCGCAGATTCTGCAAGTTCCAGAATTAATCTTATTTGCTAACTCAAAAGTCCTGCTGAGTACTGAGGTATACTGAGCAAGTATATGAGTGCTTTAGAGTAGGGAGAGGCCTGTTGGCTGGCTGAGATCACGTAATAAAGAAAACACAGTATACATTTTCCCAGTGGACTCCCCAAACACATAGAGAAGCACTTGTTGTAAGCACAACTTGGTAATTTTATGTAACCATCAGATAAGCAGACAGAGGAGACAGAGTTCTGGATATGAATCTCAGGTCCTTCCTTACCAACACTATAAAAAAAAAAGTCAGTAAATAAAAGATTAAGATGACTATAAAAAAGAAAGTAATGCTAGTCATCAACATTTGTTGTTACACAGCATTGTGTCAGAATCGACTCATAGCTGAGCCTCCAGTGGTTTTAAGAGGCCATTAATCACTCAGGAGGAGACTACCCATCTCTTCCCCACAGAGCTGCTTATGGACTCGAACAGTGTTCCTTTGGGTTGGCTGTGCAATTCTTTCTCACTAAGCCACCAGAGTTCACTTAGTTAACATTTGCTATGTTTTATTATGGGTCAAAAAGCAGCGCTGATGGTTTAGTGAATGTATTGTGTCTTGGGCTGTAACTTAAAAGGTCAGCAGTTCAAGTCCACCTGCTGCTCTTCAGGACAAAAATTAGTCAGCCTGTTCCAATTAAGATTTACAGCTTTAGAACCATCACTGTAGAAAGAGTATGAGGATCCAAGGCGGGGGTTGAGGGGAGCAGGGAGGGTGCAAATAGAGGGGTAAGGATGGGTGTTAATCATAGGGTTGCACAATTCGATGGGTGGGTGGGGTGAAGGAAATGAGAAGGATATTTTGTGGAAAATAATGTATACAAACCTTGTAAGTAAAACAGAATAAAATCTAAAAATAAAAAATAAATAAAAGATGTATAGCTTTAGAAATCTAGTAGAGGGTTGCCATAGGTTGATATTGACTCAATGGCAGTGGTTTTGGGGGCTTTTTAAAATTCTCCCTCACCCCTGGGCAAGGAAGCCCTGGTAACTAAGTGGTAAGGAGCTGTGCTGCAATCCTGAAGACATGTGTTTCAATACTACCTGCTCCACAGGAGGACGGGCAACCTCCTCCTGTACACTAACCGGCCTCTGAAAACTCGCTGGAGGGTCAGCTATGAAGGGTTGTTGATTCTGACTTGACGATAGACAACAGCAACATCAGATGAGAAAAACAAAACAGAAGGATGAGAAATCATCCCCAAGGTCATACAGGAAATAAGCACAGGATGCAAGATTCATACCAAGGACCAGAGGACACCATTGTCAGAACTCTTCACTTGATCATACTGGCTCCACTCAACCTCTCAGAGTTTCAGGTGTTTTCTTTATTAAGATTGTTAGTGGTTAAAGAAATAAATCAGAAAAGAGTAGTGGAGGGCATTAGTGATGCTGAAAGGAGAGCTATAAGGCAGCAGTTAAGTGCTTGGCTGCGAACCAAACAGTTGGCAGTTTGAACCTACCCAGTGACTCATAAAAAGCCTTGGCCATCTGTTTTCACAAAAACGACTGTGGTTGCTCGGTGCTGTCAGGCAGATTCAAACGCACAGTGACCCTACGAACAACAGGTCTGACCCCTCTCCTATCCTGTGCCATTTCATCATCTCTGACATACTTGAGCTCACTGCTGCAGTCACTGTATCAATTTCTTTAGTTGAGGGTCTTCCTCTCTTTTGCTGACCACTTTACAGCCTAGAAAACTGAAAGGGGCACTTCTACTTTGTCACATGGTATCACTAGATTAAAAGAAAGAAAGAAAATCTTTGGCACCGAACATAATAACAACAATGATCCTGAGCCAAGGAAGATGATAGAAAGCAGCCTGGCTCATTTTAGTCAAGTCCTTATGCTGTAGACAAATAAGTAATGTATTTATTTAGAAAGATGAAGTTTAGCAGAATTTAGCCTGTATTTACACTGGCATTAAATCCAGTTGCATTAAGACAGTGAATAGTTGTATGGTCATATTTCCACTGGGATATAAAGAGTTAACTTTTCAATTAGATTTACCTAGGGCGAGTGTGTGTGTGTGTGTGTGTGTGTGTGTGTGAGAGAGAGAGAGAGAGAGAGACAGAGAGACGGAGGAAAGGAGAAGGAGAGAGAGAGAGGGAGAGGGAGAAGAAGGAGAGGGAGAGGGAGACACGGGTGGGGAAAGAGATGCTGGTATATAGGAATTAAATAGATTCTAAAGCTCATTTGAGCATTTTGACAGTTGCTTAAGGGTATATATAGTTATCCTGATAGTAAGGACCGAAAACCATTTTTTTAATAAAATTGAATGCTGCCAAAATAAGAAAAGAATGAGAATTCAGTATTGATTTTCCTCCATTGAATTCAGTAATTCTAAACTGCTTTTTGCACATAAAATTGAAATTGGTTTGTTCCTGCTATAACTAGATAAAGCAGTATCTGGGAAAAAGCAGTAATATTCAGCTCCATGAACAGATGTGGGCAAAAACCAATCTAAATTTTGGAAAATTTGTGCATCATTATGTGGATTTATTTGTATAAAGGATGTTTCGCCTGGTGACGAAGATTTGGGTTAAAAAAATCATAGGCCACCCTGAAGAACGGCTCCTGAAGATTGTGCTTTCTCTCTTTCAGATGCACAGATTTTGCATTTGACACATAATCCATTTGAATCACTGAAAGATACTTTACTCCCTAATATGGAAATGCAAAATGTAGATTTCAAAGTCTACAAATGACTGAAAATTGGGCTTTTATAGTATGATAATGGGAAGTAACTCATCTGCTCTGGAATGTCATTTGAGAATAAAGAAATGATCGGATGCATACTTAAAGTGTTTACACAAATTGTTGACACATTCGAAGTCTGATGAGGTTTAAATTCCAGTGAGAGTTGCAGCTAAAACTTTGGAACTGAGCAATGAAAATGACTGCTCATTATTAAGTCAAAACCAGGAAATTACTCAAACCTTGGAAGAATCTAAGAACTCCAGAGCATTGGGCCTAGAAAAAAATGTTCAAAGTGATCCAAGCCGTTGGCTTTATAATTGTAGTGTCATGATGAGTTGTGAGGTCTGATTCAAGGAACTTTTTGATTAGTGATAGATGTGAGTTTGAAGTAATATACTTTGTTTAGGTCTTATGACAAAGTCAAGGTTAGCCATATAATCAGATCACTCCAGGTATATGCTTCTCATTGCTGTTCTATGCTGCCTAGTTGACCGCAACTCATAGGGACTCCATGAACAACGGATCTGAATTCTGCCCTATTCTGTGATTACTGATGTGTTTCCGTAGAGGACGTAGAAAGTGAGTATGGTTCTAGTTCCAGCAAAATGCTCAATCACTAGCTGTGTCTTAACTCGGAGCAAGCCAACTATTTTCAATGTTCTACCAAGAGTCACAGCTATTACAAATTATTACAAAATACTATACACTGCCAACACAAAGGTATATGGTTCAAATTCGCCAGCTGTTCTGTGGGAGAAAGATGGGCAATCTCCTCCTGTACAATTTGCTGAAATACTGCTGGAGGATCAGATATGGGTTGGTTCCGACTCGATGGTACAGTAAGCAGCTATAGAGCTGGTGAGTTTTCTGCGGCTCTGTGTATTATATTTTCTTGCAAACAACTTTTAGATTTTTGTCAAACTCTGTGTATGCCCTTTTAAAACTGTTCAACATATATATTGCAGAAAGAAAGCTGGATACCAAGAAGCCAGATACCAAGAAAGAAGTCCAACCCAAGCACACATTACGTATTGAGTTAAATCTTCAGCGTCAAATACAGGTTTGCTTAAGAAAGACTTAATGGATGACTGAATATATACATGTCACTCCAGGGAGAGATTCTGTCTCTGTGAAGTGGATGGTGAGCAGGACATTGAAAATAAAGCCTGAAGTTGGGTCTGTTCGTGATTAAAGGAACTCCAGGCAGCCCTCATCAGTCCAAAAGTATTTCCATTGTTAGTTCCAAGGTTGTACCCAAAACTACCACGGGAATTTAAATCTCATCAGATTTTAAAAGTGTAAACAGTTTGTGAAAACAACTTAATTATGTATTTGATAATGTATTCTCTGATGACATCCCTCAGGCAGTGAGGAACAGAGGTGGGGGTAGTGAAGGATTGAGGTCTTCTGAGAAATCCTACTAGTCTTTTTTTTGTTAAATTTGTGTGCGTGTGTGTGTGTGTGTGTGTGTGTGAGAGAGAGAGAGAGAGAGAGAGAGAGAGAGAGAGAGAGAGAGATTGAGAGATTTTAATGAAGGTTTACAGAAAGGTTGAGCTTTCATTCATTTATTCATTGTTGCACATTTTTCTTCCTCCTCCTCCCTCCTTCCCTCAGTCCAGTAGACCACCTGATCCAGTCTATTGCCATACATATAATGCCTAATGATACATTCCTCTCTGATAGTTCTTCCCCTCATATTTATAAGCCCAGAGGGCTAACTAGGGTGGAGGTGTGGTCCAGGAAGGAAGCACAAGCTTCCCATGCTCACTTGCTCAGGTAAGGAGGAAGAGCTTCCCAGATCAGTTCTTCAAGTTCTTCATATCCCCTCTTAGAAAGGGACAAAGCTAAACATTAGAGTTTTAAGAAGCCATCAACTTTATAAACAACAGATCTGACTTGTGCTGTCCTATCATGTGCCGTTCTCATCTCTCTGACATGTGAGTTCACTGCTGCAGTCACTGTGTCATCTCATTCAAGGTCTTTCTCTCTTTTGCTCACCCTTTACTTTTCCAAGCATGATGCCTCTCTCAACGGAATAGACGCTTCTAACAACATGTCCCAAGTATGTGAGGCAAAGCTTTGACATCTTTGTCAACAAGGAGCAGTCTAGCTGCACTTTTCCAAGACATAACTGTTTCCTTTTTTTGGTAGTCCATGGGATATGTGTCATCCTTATTCACTGTTTAGCTTTCAGACGCATAGCAAATGACTGAAAAGACCATGACATGAATCAGGTGCACCGTAGTCTTCAAACTGACTGCTTTGCTCCTCAGTAATTTGGAAAGGGCCTTGACAGCAGACTTTTCCAACACAATACATCTCTTGATCTTCTGACTGTTAGTACCAAGAGTGTTGATTGTGAGTCCAATGTTATAGTAGGTGTTATAAACTATGAATAAGCAATCCTTTATAAGGACAATCCTTTATAGAAGTAGATGGACAACAGTGGTTCACAACTAGGGTGATTTTTCTCTCCTGAAGACATTTAGCAATGTTGGAGTTATTTTTTAATTCTTCTTCTTTTTTAAATTATGCATATATTCTTTTTGTTTGTTCTCACTCATATTGTATTTCACATGACCATTCCCATACATTGTGTTTTATAAAATTAATCACCATTGATCTATGCCCACTATTACCCTGTCTTTTCAGATCTCCACTAGATCTTTGCTAATTCTTTCACCCTCTCCTTCCACCCACCAAATTCTGTGACCCAAAATCACCCCCCTTCTCACTCTCAGCCCCCCTACTTCATCCCCTTCCATCTTTGGATATTTATACATATATTACTAGTTTGGTTCTGTTTGTATAATAATGGTCTTAGGTAGAATTTATCATTATGAGTCTGAGTTATTTCATTTAATAGAATGTTCTCAAGCCCTTCCTATGTTATATAGCATTTTTTGGAATCACTGCTCCTAAGTGCTGCATATTATTCCATTATGGAAAGTCCCACGATTTCTCAATCCATTCATTTGCTGAGGGACATGTGGGGTGCTTCCACATTCTTTCTCTTGTGAGTAACACTGCTATGAACATTGGTGTACAAATCTCCATTTGTGTCTCAGTTCTATTTTCCTCAGGGTATATTGCTTGGAGTTATTTTTTATGAACACAATTAGGTAGTAGTGTATCCTAGAAATGCTGCTAGACAAACTACAATGCATAAAGCAGCCTCCACAGCAAAGGAGTCTGAGGCCCATAATATCACTGATGCAAAGTGGGAGAAACCCTTATGAAAGCAGAGGGTTATGCTGGAGAGCAGAGGCCACTAGACCAGGAGTTAGGAACCCAAAGTCTCAGTACCTGTTATGTGACCTTGAGAAAGTCACCGGATAAAATTATAGATCCAACTCAGCACCAGCAACTTCAAAATAAATTTTCTTTTTAAACAGTTCTAGCCAAATGAGAATGGATTTCTGCCTTTTTTAACCCTTCCTACTTCAACTCCTTCCTTCCATCCTTCCATCAGCAAGTAATTACTGAACTTCTACTACATACCAGGCACCATTAGAAGGAGATAGAGGGATAAAGGCAGAAAGAGACAGACCGAGGGATAAAGGTAGGAAAGTAGCAGTATGGATGTTGTTCTTATGGAGATTTCAGTCAAAGAGGAGAGAGAGACAGCTGACAAACAGAACTCCATTACTGGTCTCAGCAGCAAGGGAAAGATTTGGTCAGTAATTCCCAAAGAGAACGCAAGTGAATGTTTTGCTTCTAAAAGACACCCTAAACAGAAACACCAGGGACCATTAATAAGAAACCCCTCTAAAGCAAAGGCATATAGTTTAGAAGGCAAGCAGAGGTTACACTCAGATGCGGACATGAGCACCAAGCCCGTGCTCCCAGCGAAGCCCCCAGGCCCTGGGCACCTTGTTGATGTTGATGTGCAGAGCAGGCCACGGACCAACAGCCTTCACTGTTTCCAGTTCCAGTTTCTTTATATGTGCAGCAGCATCACTGAACAGTGGAGGTGCTCCTGGACTCAACTCTAAAAAATGCAGGCAGAGGGAAGAAAAGGAAAGTTTGAAAGGACAGAAAGATACAGGTGAGAAAGAACACTGGCCAGAGTCTGACCCCAGCACCCCTTCTGCTGCTCTCCTCCCCTACACCTTGCATCATCCCTGGAGTGTGTACCAGCTGAGGCGTATAATAGCATTGAGGACAAGGTTTCAAGATCTAGTCCTCTTCACCTCCCCCTCCCACACTCCATGAGCTGGGTGGTCCTGGGCAAGCTGCTACCTCCCTGAACATCAGAGTCATTTAAAGGTGGAAATAAAATTACTCACTTTCCAAGGTTGCAGTGAATAGTGAGATCATTCACACACAAATGTTTTACAAATGAAAAGCATTATGCAAATTGGAAAGATCTGTGTGTGGGCTAACATGTCTATAAGTGTGCAATGTTATGCTTCTAAACCAAATCTACTGATTTTTGATTTCTGTACTTTTGTACTTTTAATTTCTGTACTACCTAGCCTCCCACTAGCTTAGATTTATTCATTAATACATTAAATTATTCACTGAATATTAAATACTTGGGCCAAGTATTGCTAGCTATTGGGATCTAGGGAGCTGGAATAAAGAGGGGAATGAGACAAAATTCCAGTTGATCAAGAGAGAGAGACAGACACAGGTACTAAATAAAATGGACAAAAGCTATACTTCATTTCCACCTGTAATGTGATGGTCTTGACTTATAAATGTTTTTCTTTAAAACTTTTTCAAACTTTTATTAAAGCCAGTCTTTGTTACCGAAAACAAACTATTAATAAAATATTTTAGCTTTTTTTTTTTAAAGAGTTCTGCTTCATTAGCACAGGAGTAAGAAAGGGTACAGGGACTTGAAAACTGGAAATTCAGGAAGATTGTTAAGGGAAATGTCACTGAAGAGGTAACATTTGCACTAGCTTCTGAAGGAGAGGTAGGAGTTCGCCCAGGCAGAGAAAAAGGAGTCATTGAGGGCAGAGCTGGAACACAGCACTGCGTTTAGCGAGTGGAGAGCTGCTTCAGGTGTGGTGAGGAATGAGGAAGGTTAGAGATCTTGGCACAGGGATCAGGCTGGAAGGTATGTGTGTTAACATATTTTAGCTGTGGGCAGTGAAGAACCTCGAAGAGACTTTAAGTCAAGAAAGCTACAGATACACTTGTAGAGCTGCCACTTGGGAAGCATGAGGATGGAGCTAGATAGGGTACCCCTGAGGATGCTGTTACAATTATCAAGATACTCAAAGATGAGACAGGGCTGTGCAGAGAGTGCAAAGGGTTCTGATTCTTGAGCACCAAGTGGATATTGAGCTCCACTCCAATGCCCAGCTCTCAATTGGTGCCAGGTTTACAGATGAAGTTGAATGGCTCATCCTGTATCCCCAGTTAACAGGGGCTCATGAAATGTCAGTATTAGAGGGCTCCTTAAAGATCATCTTGTTGCCTCTACCTCAATTCACACATGAAAAAAACAAGGACTGAGAAGGGAACTTGACTCAATAGTGAGAATGAGAACTGAAGCCTCTTGTCTCTACTTCAATGCCTTTCAAACCCTATGTGATAAGAAGTAGTTCTTCCTATCTCTGACCCGACTCATCACAGGCCAATTCCCATAAAAATAGAATAAAGATACATTTCTGGGGAGGGCGAGAGGGAATGACAGATGTATAAAATCCAAGACCATATTTTTAAATAGCTGAAACAGATATAAAATCACTGTCACACTGCCAATTAACTACGTTTCTAATTGCTTACTTTTTGTTTCATGCCCTTCTCTTACTGCGATCTGCATCAGTGAGCAGACTAGCATGGCCTAACATCACCTTGCTTTCAGAGGTGGAAACATCAGAAAAGGGGCAGTAGAGGTTTTCCTGTCATTGTTATACACTGTCGAGTTGGAGCAGACTCACAGGTGAACCTCCAGCAGGTTTCTGAGACCGTTAACTGCTTAGAAGAAGACAGCACATCTTTTCCCCCACAGAGCAGCTGGTGGATTTGAACCGTGAGCTTTTAGGTTGGCAGCACAATCCTTTACCACTGAGCCACCAGAGCTCTGTTTTCCATAATTAGAAAAGTAGAAATGCAAACCACTGCAGGTCCGTCTTTGCCTTTTCCATTGCTTGAGCCAGGGATGGGAACAGCACAAGCAGAGAACTGCTAAGGAATGAGGTGGAGAGAGTGGCAATTGCACTGTTACTATGCAATGAAATCAGAATGAGCTGGTACACTGTATCCTTGAATTGTGCCTAAATGCACAAGCCTCTCATCCACGCTTGCTTGCCTTTACATGGCCATCAAGCACTAACTCCAGCCACAGTTATGATATAGGAGAACCTGTCCTGAATATCTAGCCAAGTCACGCAAATTCTACATCATTGCCTCCCCACCCTGCCCTGCCTTCTCCACTTCTACTTACTTGTAAGAGATTTACTGCTGGAGCCTGGGGACCTTGAAGGCCCCTCTTTGCTCTCCAGGGTCAGGGTGAGTCCATAGTTTGAGTGGTGTTGGTGCTGGTGAGGGTGATGCCTTCCTGGTGCTTTGGTGGTGAATGGTGTTCCCCCATTCTCCTCAATGCCAAAAGGTAGCCGGTCGGAGCTGCTGAGCACTGGAGAGGGAAGTGGGTAGCTGTGCAAGAGGACAAAGTCAGGGTTTAGTCAAGCAAACTGCTTTGATATCATTATGCATGTTTTTTTCTTTGGATGTGGGGTGAATCAGTGGTATTTCTTGTAAATGTGATTTTGTTTATATTTACAGTCTTCCTTGACAAAAGGAACTTTGGTAGTATAAAGTATAACTTTGACAGCTGCTAACCAAAAGATTTACAATTCAAATCCACTATCTGCTCTGCAGGAGACAGACAGACAGTCTTTTCCCTTAAAGACTGACCACCATTGAGGCATCATCTAAGGAGGTGAAATTGACTCAACAGTAGTAGGTGGTTGGATTTCCCCTCCCCCCCGAACAGGAATTTTGATTCATGAAGTTGCCTTCAGTTATATAATAAACCATCTGTCACTTCTAAACTTAATGTGCTCAGTTTCCAATAGGATATATGAAAATCCAATTTAAAGTGCAGTTTTCACAGGTACAATACAATCCGTTTGTTATATGCAGTATGACTAAATATTTCTATCCTTACCTGCTCAGTAATAGTATCACAATGAATAAGTAATAGAAGTTGAAATTTGTTTCATACTTAAAAGGAATCTAACACACAAAGTGACTATTTTATGATGGCTTAGCTGCTGAAGTATTGATCCAGATGATAGTTTCTTATATTAGAAGAAGCAAAGCCTAAAACAACTATAAGATATCATCTCACCCCAGTCAGAAGAGCAAAATTTAACAGAACAGTAAGCAACAAATGCTGGCAAGGTTGTGGAGAAACTTGAACCCTTATTCACTGTTGGTGGGAGTGTAAAATGGTACAACCCCTGTGGAAGGCAGTCTGGCGCTTTCTTAAAAAGTTGCAAATAGAGATACCATTTGACCCAGCAATTCCACTACTGGGAATATACCCTGAAGAGACCATAGCTGACATCCAAGCAGATATATGCACACCCATGTTTATTGCAGCTTTGTTCACAATAGCAAGGAGTTAGAAACAACCTAAGTGTCCATCAACAAATGAATGGATAGAGAAGCTGTGGTATATTCACACAATGGAAGCATTATGCCGCATTGAAAAACAAGGAACTCATGCAATATTATTCAAAATGGGTGACCTGGGAGGACATTATGCTGAGTGAAGTATCCCAGTCACAAAAGGACAAATACTGCATGGTGCCACTGTTGTAAAACAGGACTGACCCTGGGGTTGTGGGAAGGCTGAGAAAGATGGGTTCAATAATGTATACTGCACTGAAACAGATGAGGGAGAAAATTGTTTACAAGGGATATGTGATTAGGTATTTTTGTCATGACAGGAGTCTAGAGTGAAGGCTACATGGTGGAGGGGACCTGGGAGAAGTTTTGTAAAACAATGAAAGAATTTTTCTTTTACTTTTGCAAGAGGGTAGTATACTAGGGGGGAGGGTTGGGAGGGGAGAAATGTGCAACAATCAATGAATGGAAATCCAAAGTCTCTGTAAATTTTTACTAAAATTAATAATAAAT